CTAGTTTCCACTCAGGAAAATTATCCGTGGATTGGAACGGATAAGAAAATTTTTCTTTCTCTTGTATGAGCTCTGGGTTGCATGGAACTATTAATGACTTTAACACAAACGACTAACATTAACGTTAACATTTAACTTTAACATTAATGACTTTAACACATTGATGACTTTAACGTTCCAATTCACGGATAATTTTCCTGAAACTAGCGCCGTTTCAGAATTCAGACGGCGTACTTATATCGGCGCCGGACTTAAATGATGGATTAGGTAGGGCCGGCAGAAGAGCGACGTATGAATCAATTAAGTACGGCAGAATTTGGAGCGGCAAATATATGTTCGACACAAGAGCTGCGACGTTGGAGCGACGCTTAGAGACCTTACGATTTAGTATGGCAACGCGACGGCAACGGCTATCAGTGCAATAAATCATTGAAAATAATTGAATATAATTACCGCAATATATGAATAATTTAGACATTAATTGTCTTTGAATCTGCATTTCAAGCCGCAACAAGTGCAACTTCAAACTGGGTTCAGAAGAACTCTTCCCAAACATAAAACCCATGCATGTATTCAACTGTATTAAATTCATACGATTGATCATATCGATTGATATATACCACGAATTATCTTACTTAATTGCCATTTAAATATTTGAAGGAGTTTTTTTGGCCGTTGTCGTCGCGTTGCCGTCCTAAAATCGTGTCAGGGAGTTTGGCAACCTGACGGCGTCGCATCTAATACAATTAATTAAGCTAGTTCAGTACATGATCATGAAGAGTATAGTACAGGGCCTTTTTTAAGGATTTTTCTGGGGGGGGGGGCATTTTTTGAAAAGGGACCTTTCTGTGAGATAATATATTATAGAGGGGGTAGTAATGGCTGAAGGGGCCAATATACCACGCATATACCCAATATTTTTGAAATTTGAATCCCGGAAATGTCATTTCCTGCATTCTGAGCATCCAAATTTGCTCCAAAACATATCAAACTTTCGCCCTATATGAATGAACATTTGCTCAAACTAGTGTCCAGTCGCTTAATGTGAAGTTACAGACGCTCCATTTTAGGCTGAGTGTAAGATCAGCTATGCTGAACTGGTTTTGTAATACCTTCTTTAAATAAAGTTCAGTATTTAATATTATTATTAATATATGGCGGAGAGACCAAAGCCCACGCTTCGAGATTTCCCAAGCATAAACTTCAATTATAATGAGGCAGAATAACTAAAAAGCACATTTTACTAAACGCAAACTCATTACAATTGTTCAACACTTATCTGGATTCTGGTATACAATATATAAAGACATATAAGGAAGATATTGAGTCTAAGACGTCCCTTCGCCATCTTCTACGGCCGAGATCAATTGAATTATTAATGAGTTTGTAAACACAAGCAAAACCCACATCTTTGCGCACATTTTGCCCTTCCTAAATCGCCATAAATAAACACGAATTTGCTATCAAAATGCGCCAAATTTCACGACGACTTCAAATCTGGAGGTAACTGGAGTCAAAGACCTGCGCATAAGGTCCTAGTGCCAGTTTTCTTCAACAGACACTGCGCGCGAGGCAAATTTCCTATATAAATCATAACAAATAGCGCATAATCAAACGAAAAGTGCCCTTCGAATTAAGTATTATTTCCCCATAAAAGTACATTCAAAAGACGTCTAAAGGCTTATTCTTTCCTATACCGTAGGTAACTGAACACAGATCTAATCGTAGAGCAAACGTAAGCGAAAAAACATCAAATTTTGGGGTGATTTGTATAGGCAAAAGTTGGAAATATGATACGCGCAATACGACACGACTTTTTGTTAACGCAAAGTTTGATATGTTTATGCCAACTCTACTTGTATTTGAAATAAATAAAGGAAAAAATGCACAAAAAGTAAAAAAAATTAACCATCATTTATCATTACTTATTAGAGGAGGCCTAGCAATGGTCAGGTGTGTGGGGGTGTACTCCCCCAGAAAATTTTTCAGTGAAATTTGAAGCACGGAAATGCCATTTCCTGCATTCTGAGCATCCAAATTTGCTGTAAAATTTATGCTAACTATACTTGTATTTGAAATAAAAGATGGAAAAAATGTACAAAAAGTAAAAAAGAATATTAACAAAATCGATTTAAATTGTTACTTTTTTCTATCACTAAGTAATAATTTATTATTGTTAATAATTTTTTTATTTTTTGGATGCTCAGAATGCAGGAAATAGCATTTCCGGGTTTCAAATTTCAAAAATTTTCTGGGGATTATCCCTCTAATAAGTAATGATAAATTACAGTTAAGGTGTTAAACAAGGATAAAGCAAAACTTACTTTCCGTTTATGTATTTGTTAATCCTCGCTGGTTTGTTTGTATAATTTTAGGGAAAAGGGACTTTTCCTGGGGGGGGGGAGGGGTAAAATGTGATTTTGTGGGGGGGGGGCACAAGGGGGGACTGGGGGAGGCATTTCTCCCCCCCCCCGCAGCTGGCCAGCTTGTATGTTAAAAAAGGCCCTGGTATAGTACGCCGTAACGGGCCTAAAGCCCTGGCCGGGGCAAACTAGGAAACATTGTTGCGGAAACATTTGTGATTCTGGATGTAAGGACGGTCCTGCCTCCTATTACTGCACCTTAAGCGAACTACCATAGGACGTCTAGATTTGATTATCTGAATTATGTATAGGTTATTTTGAGGCAACGAGGATATATGTGATTTATTCACCGAGGCGCGCAGCGCCGAGGTGAATAAACACATATCCCCTACGTGGCTCAAAATAACGTACTTTTAATATTTTTCACATTGCGAGGTCGCGTTAATCATTTTTTCTGCTGCAAAAGCAAAGACATTACAGGTGAATATTAGAGGGATTATTAAACGGAAATTGATTAGAGGGGAATATTGAATATATTCCCCGATAAGAACAAAGGAAACCGAGCAAGGTGAAAAATAACAAGGTATTAAATAATTTATTTAGAACTTATGATGATATATTCAGGGGGGAATTGTTTTTGTGTGGTGTTTATATTCTGTCACAATATTCTGTGCTAATTTAAAATTGCCCTGTCAGGATACGTCATAACATGTTATGTTATAATCCCCCTGGAATAAGCAGGTATTACCATTGAACTAAAAATAACTGGAACGCTACGTTCAGTAAACTGCGCATGCAAATTTTGAAGCCAAAATTTGACTCCCATGAAGCCAAATGAAGCCAGTTTTGACTCCCAGACACGCACTTCCACGCGTGTTTCTACTGCGCGATTTACTCGCGAGACAATGCAGGGGGCGCTCGAAGCATGCCGTTTTGAATGTTTTCATGGCAGGATGCAAATCGAAAGGGAAACGGGCCTTTTTAATTTAAAACGGGCCTTTTAAAGTTTGTGTACGACCTTGTAGAATTTAGCTTCAAATCTCCGCTTGAACGTAGCGTTCCAGTTATTTTTAGTTCAATGGGTATTACCTATGTTTCCGGGGGGGAGGATCTTTCTCCGTGGGCGGAGGATGCAAAGAATCCTGGGATACTTACGCATTCGCTATTTTTGGCGAGAAGGAACTCCTCAAAAGCTAGAGACCTGAAATATTTTCTCATTTTATATAACTTAACTCCTATAAATAATGGCTCAACCACCGCCATACAATCAACCTGGCTATCCTCCACAGCCTACGAATCCTCCAGCTTATCCAGGTATGGTTTTATTGCCTTTTTGAATCGATTTCCTTTGCGAAATATCGCGAGTTGCTCGCATGCCATTTTGACGAATGACAAATTATTCGACCGCTTATTTTTCCTCTTCGCCGCTTCCAGATGGTTCCAAATGCATTAGCATGATCTAAAACGTTTCAAAAGCAACTAATATATTTGCAAAACTGAACTTTCAAGTAGTGTTTTAATAGTTCTTATTTCAAGTATGCGTTTGAATAGTTTTTATTTATGAATAGTTTTTATTTATTTTATAACCCGAATTTCGCAGATTGAAAGTCTTCCGCACAAAGGAAAGTTAGAAAACATTCACACGGTCCTTTTGTGACTTTTTTGGATGTAGCATTTGGCATTTTTCGTATTAAACGAAGCTTTATTACAAATTCCGTCAAACTAAAATGTGATGTTTTCGTTTTAAAGTTATTAAAATCATTGGCATGTACATATTAATTTGACTGTTCTCCCCGTTCTGCAGTAATAAATATACAGTAATTGCCAGAATTTTTCCGCTTTTGACGAAGTTTCTGTACAAAAGAAGGCGTCCTATTAATATACCTTCGATGTGTTGTCTAATATGTAGGTTTGTGTCTGGTAGCTGTTGATAATAAACACAAGAAGGCATGAATTCTTCCCAAAACGAAAATATCGGAAGCAGAACTGCTGGCCAGCATTTGTGTTGAGTCGTGTGTCGTCATAGGAATTTAATCACATGGAATACAATTTTAATCCCCTTGCAATTGTGTACTTCTTTTATTTGTGACACACAAATATGAAATATTTACAAATAAATATGCCATATTAAAAAAAAAATTGCTATGTGATTATGCCTATTTATCAGTTATCTTGGCTTATCTACAGTGTTCACTGATTATACCCCATCTGATCATAATCAGTGATCACCATCTGATCACTGATTATGCCCCAGTGTTCACTGATTATGCAGAGGCCCTGTTCCAAACATCACACTCCTCGTGTGCCGAACGCATTAAACAGGGTTCGTAGCGGTCTTTGAAATCCTTGACAGTCATTAATTAAATTTAAAATATTGATGTCGGGACTCTACTGAAAGTCGCCCAGCAAAAGACCACCAAAGCCGTGAAAAAAAAATTTTATTTCCGACCTACCGACCCTAATTTTTTCATGATATGAAACCGAAACCACAGGTATTTTTTTTAGGCCTTGCCAAACTTAACCCTGGTGCTAACCCTATCCAGTCCCCATTCTAACCGATCAGATCAAGATCCCACAGATCCTTGCAAGATCTCAGTAAGATTGACTGGCACGTTGCCAATATGAATAATCCTTCCCTGGTTTTCTCAGCTCTGACATTTCAGGCAGGGGATATAGGGTCTGAAATTTAAATATTTTCTCAGTATCAGGATTCAAAGTTTAGTATCCCCCCTGAGAATGCAGTATCCCACTTCTGGATACTGGTTACCATAAGTATTATACCCTGTCCCATCCAATAACTCTCGCTGTTACAAATTACAGTAACAACAGGAAATTCAATGTTCAGTCAAGTTGTCAACAACTAGACAATTCATTAATCCACAAAAATGCACATTATATGAGGAAAGGCTTGGGTGGCAAACTCATAGTATTCAAAAGCTATCAGGAGACTGTCAGAGGTGCTTAACATTTTCCTAATGTTTGAAATTTTCTTAGTATCCAGTTGGGATATAAGTCATTCACAGTTTGGTATCCAAAACCAAATTTTAGTATCCCGTGGATATTGGGATACTGCAAATTTCAGACCCTGGGATATAACTGTGGTCTTATAGACCACCTTCAGAATTACTGGAGGGGGGCATCCATTTATTATACATAAAAAATGTAGAAAACTGAACCCCCTTCCCCTTGTATGCATGTAAAAAAATAGCTGCTGCAAATACAAAGTGGTTTCTCAATAATTTGAAAAAGCCTCGATTGCCTTCCCAGGTTAACAGGGCTTTCAAAATTATTTTAAGTGAGCATCTGTGACGGGAAAGTAAGCGGCTGAAAGAATAATTTTACAAATATGGGATATGTTTTGACAAGATTTCAAGTTAGCTCATCTTTTTGTTCCATTTGTGGCTTCATCAATTGGTAGTCAGCTATAAGCTTTTTTATACCTAGCACAGTATATGAATGGATGAAATTCTTGTTGAAGAGAAATGCATCACTAAAACGTCAGAATATTGATGAATCCTTTTGGTTTTTAGATGGTAGTTAATATCAAAAATCACTTATATATATATATATATATATATATATATATATATATATATATATATATATATATATATATATATATATATATATATATATATATATATATATATATAAAATATATATATATATATATATATATATATATATATATATATATATATATATATATATATAATTTGTTATCTTAAAATGTTTCAATTTCTCGCTACTTTAAGTTTCATGCCACTATTTGTGGCAATCTTCAGGCGATTAAATTCAGTTCGTTATAATGGCGTGATCTATAGTTTGCTGACGTGCATGCACCGTCATTCGCACGCGCGTTCAAAATTTCCCGCCCAAAATTTCTCGCGATGTCGGCATTTTGCGAATATCTCGGGTCTTTTGTTCAGTGTTAAATGCTTGTTTGCATCCATTATGCAGAGTTTTTCTTCTATGCAGAGATTGCAACGCTTTGCACCAGATGAGTATGCGCCTTCCCGCTTCAGAATTGACCATTTTAGGGTGTAATCTTTATTATTACTCTTTAGCCCCCAGATGTACTTTGACAGCTCTGTATCGTTTTTATATCTTTGGAGTTTGAAGGATTTCTTATGATTTCCATATCGTTCTTTGAAAGTAGTCGCCGTCATTCCTATATACTCTTTCATGACACCGTCGTCGGGTGATGTAACTTGGGCTTGAATGACGGCGACTACTTTCAAAGAACGATATGGAAATCATAAGAAATCCTTCAAACTCCAAAGATATAAAAACGATACAGAGCTGTCAAAGTACATCTGGGGGCTAAAGAGTAATAATAAAGGTTACACCCTAAAATGGTCAATTCTGAAGCGGGCAGGCGCATACTCATCTGGTGCAAAGCGTTGCAATCTCTGCATAGAAGAAAAACTCTGCATAATGGATGCAAACAAGCATTTAACACTGAACAAAAGACCCGAGATATTCGCAAAATGCCGACATCGCGAGAAATTTTGGGCGGGAAATTTTGAACGCGCGTGCGAATGACGGTGCACGTCAGCAAACTATATATATATATATATATATATATATATATATATATATATTTATATATATATATATATATATTTATATATATATATATATATATATTTATATATATATATATATATATATATATATATATATATATATATATATATATATATATATATATATATATATATACAGGGTGTATCATAAAGCATTGAGCACTCTTTTATCTATAACGAAAAACAAAACTGTTTATATATATATATATATATATATATATATATATATATATATATATATATATATATATATATATATATATATATATATATATATATATATATATATATATATGTTTGTTCTATAGTAATTGTAAAATGTTATAAATTCAAAGAAAATACAGATTTAGAAGTGCATGATGGGTTATTTTGAAAGCCCTGGGTTAATTGAGATTTTACCTTTACAATGTTGCTATATAACTTGTGTGTGTTCAAGGAAAAATTTTAGTGCATTTTAGTATTCCCCAACAATTTAATCACCTGTGGATCTAAATTATGTTGACCTGTTAAGTGGTTTCACTTTAAAACAATATGACATTTTGAATAATGAATATTGTATACATAATTAACATCTGCTTAGAAGTGAGAGGTTCTAAACTTCTAATTCTTCATCATGGACATCATAAGTTTGTTTAGCTTATGCATATAAGTATATTGTGTTTGACATTTAGATGAATAACTTGACATTTTAGATAAATGTGTTGACATCAAATAAATAATGTGCCATTAAGTACTGTGTATGCAAAACTATAACTGTGTGAAAGTGCAATGTGGAATAAGTCAATTAAAAAAACCTAAAAACCTGTCCACACAGTGCTTGGCATTAATTAGCCTTTTTCATGAAGGCCAAGGTCGCCATTTTTGGGGTACTTTTTTGAAAACGACGTAAAAAAGTGTAAGCGATGTGAAAACATTTTTTTGAATATTTAACTGTAAATTAACTTATAATGATTATACTCACAATTATAGTTGTACAAATCACTTATTCACTACATACAATCTCAGATTTGGAAAAGGCAGTCCCCCACACTTTCAAATGTAAAAAATGTGAGAAAATAGCCACACTTAACAGTGGCTTACCGCTTACATATTAAGGCAGTACTATACCATTAGTACAATTGTTTTTAAAACTAAAGTCTTGAACTAACTGTAGCATATTTTGATGTAAGTTATAAAAATCAGTTTTTTCGAGTGTTTTCGGACTGTCATTTGGTGACAGTTTTTACCTTGAACTGCCTCACTCTGAAGACAATTCAAATTTTTAACCAAAGTATTTTGAAGTTAGCTCATATATATGCTATAATTTCCAAACCTCTAGGTGATCAGAAAGCTGGGTACCCACCCCAACCTGGTTACCCACCCCAAGGTGGTGCCTACCCACCCCAGGGTGGTGCCTACCCACCCCAAGGTGGTCCTCCACCGCAGCCTGGTTACCCGGCACAACCAGGCTATCCTGTTCAGCCTTCACATGCTGGCCACCATACAACCACAACTACAGTAATTGCCACACAGCCTGGACCTGTGATTGTGACAGGCGTTGCATTTGGTGAGATTCCAGTCAGCATGACTTGCCCACGTTGCCAAGCACAGATTGTTACATCGACAATCTATCAGGATGGTTCATTTGCTTGGCTGATGGCTGCTATACTCTGTTTTATTGGGTGAGTTGTAGTATTTAGTTGTTTTGAAAATATTATGCCAGTTATAGATCAATTGAGTATTATTTTGAGTTATGTTGAGAGTGATTTATTAAGAGTTATTTTACCTATTTTTGCCTATTAATAGATGCCAGGTTAATACTGTGCTGTAGATTCCGTGATATAAAGAGTTATTTTGCCTATTTTATGAATAGTGTTTAACATATTAAGTTGCATTTGCACCCTGATGTGCCCTACAGTACTTTGTTATTCTACTCTGTCCAACTCCAGATGATGTCACTCATGAAGGGGAGAGTGCTGCCGCTCAATGGGTTGACCAAACAATCCGACAATGTACCTTGTTAACCCATTAAGCTGCACCCTACTGTGTTATTTTACTCAATACCTAACACCAAACGATTTTACTCATCAGTGAGAGAGCATGAATGCCACTCAGTGGTTAAAAGCACTATCACTAGCTATGATGTACAAGAACATGTTTGTAACTATTTCAAATAATTTTACAGTTGCTGGCCATGTTGCCTTATTCCATTCTGCATGGATGGTTGCAAGGATGTTACCCATCACTGCCCCAACTGCAGAAGTCATCTTGGTACCTATCGCCGAATGTAACCACCTACATAGACACCATCATACCTTAACTGTCTGGTAACAGTGTTTGTAGTTTATTGTCCTCATTGATTCTATGTAATAGATAGTTTATGATTATCATATATAAAGCATGCCATATTAATTACCATGCAAGTATATAGTAGTAACATGTGTCACATGTAGATGCAAATTCTGGAAGTACCTATATCATGGTAAAACTGAGTCGTGTTTACAGATATTGTACTGTTTACGTAATTTCTGATTTAACTTTTTACATAATAATTCTGCTTGGCAATGTTTTGTAACTTCTAAATAAAAGTTATTGTAATTATAAAATTTGGACATTGTTGGAATTTTTTTCGGACAAAAACAGCTAATAAGATACATCTACCTTTAAAAGACTTTCGTTGCTGTGACGTAACTGATAAGTTTGTAAGTTTGACTATGATATAGGTACATCATTTGGATTTTGCTAACTAGACATAGATCGCTATTCTTAATTTTCTGAGTGATTTAATGAGCTCTTGTTGAAATGTACTTTTTTGATTGGACTTGATTTTCAACTAAATTTAGAATGTGATGTAATTTTCCTCAATTCACAGAAATTTAGAGTTTTTAGAATTGATATACATATACCGTTGTGCGAGAATATAGCAGTAATTTATGTGTTTTAAAATCTTTTAATTGGCTTACTTTGTTTTGAATTGTTGTGTGTTATATTTGGTCAAAACTTAGGTAATACTTGTAGTATTAGATGTGACCAGATTTTGCAGCCGCTCCTTGCGTTATCAACAATATAGTATTGTAATTGTTAACCGTTATTAGCAATAAGTTAGTGGGTTGTTAACCCTAACCCCCACCCTAACCCTAACCTCTAACCCCCACCCCCTAACCCTAACCCGGCAGCTTTACTTCTGGGTTAGGGTTAGGGGGGTGGGGGTTGGAGGTTAGGGTGGGGGTTAGGGTTAACAACCCAATAACTTATTGCTAATAACGGTTAACAATTACAATACTATATTGTTGATAACCCTAACATAGGGGCCCCTAGGAAATTTAGTGTATCTATTCATTATGCCATCTTGCTCGTTGCTCTTACACGCTCCTGTTTTTACTGTATTTGGACTACCTTCAAACTGCAGATTCCCCAGGACTCCTAGGTGTATGGAACAGGTACAGTGAAACTCTCGTCAAAATATTCTCTTTTAAAATGGCTTTTGAAAAACGTACACCCTCTAATACATACACCTTGCTGTCTCCCTTCCAGGGGTGGAAAAAGTATCGGAACCTGGGAACCTAGTTCCCAGAAATTTTTTTGAGTTGAGAGTTTTGCAGAAAATTTTCCAGAAAATATTTCAACATTTTGAGATAATTCTGTTTACTCAAGTTACAACTATTCTACTTTATTTACACTGTACGCGCTAACATCAGCAGCTTTTAAATATTTGACAGAAATCAATTCTTTTACCGACTCCTGCCATCACAATGAGGTAAATGGTAAATATATGTTCTGCAAAATCTCCAAGAAAATGCAAATTAAATAGTAAACAAATAAAAGTGATGGAATAAATAAGATGATAGGACACTTAGTTAAGCGTTAGATCCTTACTAGTTGGTCATAACTCATAACTGTGGTATATAACAGACAACTATTGCAATGTACGAGCATACGAAAACCAGCCTAAAGCCTATTATTACTAAAGTACAAATAATACAATAATTATGCATTTGTTTTGTTATTTTTGTAATTGTAACATTACAAATTTTACAGAAAATTTCTAGCCTTCGACCCAGGTTCCCAGAAAGAAAAAAAAATGTTCACCCCTGCTCCCGTGGGCAGTTGTCATTGCACCATTTATCCACTGCTGGAGTGGCCCAAGGTGGCACACCTCGACATGATCCGGGCTTTACATTTCCCGTCTGACCCCCATTATCTCCCACCTCCATTGCCTCCAGTTCAACCCTCATTACCTCCAGTCCCACCTCCATCGCCTCCAGTTCCACCCTCATTACCTCCAGTCCGGCCCTCATTACCTCCAGTCTCACCACCAGTCCCACCTCCAGTTTCACCCCCAGTCCCATCCCCAGTTGGGACTGGAGGTAACGGAGGTGGGACTGGTGGACCTCCAGTCCCACCTCCATCGCCTCCAGTCCCGCCCTTATTACCTCCAGTTCCACCGTCGTCACCTCCAGTCCCACCCTCATTACCTCCAGTCCCACCCTCATTACCTCCAGTCTCACTCCCAGTCCCTTCTCCAGTCCCATCCCCAGTTGGGACTGGAGGTAACGGAGGTGGGACTGGTGGACCTCTAGTCTCACTTCCATTGCCTCCAATCCCACCTCCAGTCTCACCCTCATTACCTCCAGTCCCACCTCCATTGCCTCCAATTCCACCCTCATTACCTCCAGTCTCACCACTAGTCCTACCTCCAGTCTCACCCCCAGTCCTTTCTCCAGTCCCATCCCCAGTTGGGACTGGAGGTAACGGAGGTGGGACTGGTGGACCTCCAGTCCCACCTTCATCGCCTCCAGTCCCGCCCTCGTTACCTCCAGTCCCACCTCCATTGCCTCCAGTTCCACCCTCGTCACCTCCAGTCCCACCCTCATTACCTCCAGTCATCGACAACGGTAGCTGATTTTTTTATTCCATCATGAAATAAAACAAAAGTTATTCCGTTGTATATTAGTTGTTACATGTGTTGGAGACTGTTATAGATACGGAATTTTCCAAGAAAATTATATAAATATTCAATATAAATATAATATCTCGGTCAAACAATGACAAGAATCAACATGGGGCCCATACGAATATGCCTGAGGGACCCCTCTACCTCCATTACGCCACTGGCACTGGTTGACGTTAAAACATAGTTGGAACCCTCATCAAATCTTTATTTTACTAATCTAGAGCTTAAAATGCCCTTCCTAACAATGTGTGTGACTCTCACCAATTCTTACTCCTCGCTTGACCAGACCTTTAAGGGAACCTACCGAAAACAGATTTCCTGAAAATTGAGTGAAAATTTTTTGATTACTGAAAGAATCAGTTGGCAAAGCTTTCTTTTTCTCTACCAGTGAAGTTATATCAAGACCGTCAATGCTGTCAGGACCATAGAGATTATAAATAACACCATATGTGCTATTTATAATTCCATATGGTCAGGACAACATTTAGAACTGAAAATACCCGAAGCCGATTATAACTAGAGAATACAATTTGTCCGCAATGAAACATTTATTGACCGGTCAATAATAAACTGGGTGCAATACTCATGCGTGTCAACCATTAAGTTCCAAAGTTCATTTTTAAATTTTTTTATTTAATATTTATGGCGTTCCATTTATCCAGTTTTGGTTTCAAATTAAATTCACTCCAATAACCGGTGAATTATTCATACTTTTACACTTATATACTATATAACAAAACACTTATTTACTGAGACCGAGGGAAACAGTGTGTTTGTGGACCCGAGACCGCCGTTGTTGTCCGATGCGAAGCCGAGGACAACAACGGCGGTTGAGAGGCCACAAAACACACTGCTTTCCCGAGGACCGAGGTCTCAGTAAATAAGTGATAATCAATCCCCAGCGTAAAGCTTACAACAAATATCAATTCCCAGCATGAAGCTTATGCCTCTAATTTATTATCCCCATGCAATTTTGCAATTTTCTAGAAACACATTTAGTCTGATGTGTGCGTTTAAATTGTTCATGTCTAAATTGTTCCTATTAAACAATTTCAACTTGCTAATTATACACAATGTTGTCTCTTCTTGCGACATTATACAAATCACTGCCTATCAGCGCGGAATGGTGAATTTTTAGGCAACAGAAGAGACCAACCCTGAAATGGTTGAACTGATGGTACTTTATCTTCACCGTCTTCATGTATGGTGAAATCCAGACACCCAGCGACCAATGCTGCCGTGTCTTCGAGACCAGATGGATTAGCGATGGTGAGTGGTACCGTAACCAGTCCGCTGGTGAATTCATGCAGTTCCTTCGGCTCGTCCGACATCTGCATGAATTTTGTAAACCAACCTGTGTAGCCACTCGGACCCGATCCAAAGTCTTCATACGTAACAATACGGGACCACCAATCATAGTCTGGTTTACCTCTGTAAGTGGCCAGTAGTTTTTCAAAGACATCTTTGACGGCTGACCACCAGCTCTGTATGTCCAATTGGAGGTCGTTTTTGATTGGTTCAAGAAGCGTTTTCAAAGCTTCCAATTTTGACAGTAGTTTCTGCCAGTCTTCTTCAGTGCCGAGCATTTCAACACCCGGGATTCCACACATTAACATCACCCTACACAATAAAAGGAATAAGTCGGAGTTTTGACGGTCTTTTGATACAGTCCAGACGAATTCTTGTGTAAACACAGAAAGTTTGAGCAAGGCAAGGAAGTACAAAGATGAATTTAGACGTATTTGACAATAGTTTGGAGTCACCGGTCGTTGCTCGACGTGTCTTGTAAATGCGTGTCTCGGTGTTTATGAATACGGGCCTCAAGGCCTAATCCTTTCCCTGACCCAGACAAAAACAGCGAGAGATGAAACTATATCCCGTATTTTGTTCTTATGCTTTCGTTGAGAAAAGTTCACGATGAATTTTGCCACAATATTCGTTCGGAACGAAAGCAGAAGAACGAGGGGTGCGGTGGCGCAGTCGTCAGAACAAGGGCCGTTCACCTCGGAGTACGTCGTAGGTTCGATTCTCGCTACGGATTCATGTGAAGTCAGCAGTCCGAAAGTCATTCATGTCTCACTGTTTTGTTTGTGTTAAGGTAGGGATTAGGCTCAGCATTAATCTACATATATGTATGAAACTATAACCCGTCTTCGTTAGACATCTGCTGCTAGCTGACCCCATGCAAACTTAGTATGACGGTCAAAACTTGTCAAGTACGTCTTCGTCGTCGTAATTCGTTCTCTTGCTCAAACAGATCTTGAGTCATCATCAGGTTGGGTCAATAAAAGGAGTTTCTGATTCTCCATATATAGTTATCCAACTAGTCTTTGACAAATCTACACCCACCCCCATGACTTACTTGTATTCAAAGAATTCCTGCAAGGACGACATCAAAGTGATTTGCGACACAATCCTCTGCACTGGGGTTGTCGACGAAAAATCAGCCGAAATGACATCAACGTAACTGGGGACTTTGACATTCTTTGCCATTTCCTTGGACATTTCATCGAAAGACCAAGTATAGTCGACATCGTAGATGTTGTCCACAGGCACATCTACTTGCAGTGTTTTCTTACCTTGGCAATGAAAACGGAACAAACTTGCATCGAAAGTTGATGAGGACTATGAGGTCTCCCAGGGCTCCCCCCTCCGTTTGCCCCTCCCCTTCGTCACCCCGCTCTTCCACCCCATCCCCCTTTGGTGGCGCCCCTGAGAATAGCATCGGCACTTTAATACCTTCATGTTCGACAAACATCTTGCGAACTGCTTCTTTCTTCGAGTTCTTGTCGATTGCAATAGCGACACGTCTCGCTACAACAAACCACCAATCCTCTGGCGATGTTCTAAGCTTCCAATGTTTGTTATACGCTGTTAATACCGAATTGAACAAGCCACAGTCCGCATTATTCGTGTATATATAGTCCTCAGAACCTATAGTCACTCTTCTATCGCCTACGTTTTTACGAACAAGCTCATCGTCTGTGGCTTGCCCTCCATAACGTCGTTGTGTTTCCCTCGATCTCGCTTCCTTCGCTTCGAATTCTTTGGCATACGCTTCCAAAAAATGCTTCGCAGAGCCTCTGCTCAAGTCGTCTGCTTCGACTATAAGTTCTGGCGTTAAATTTTTAGCCAACGATATACACTTCATGATTGCAAGATCAGAACCAACGAATGCAGACTTATTTTGAGTCTCACAGCTGAATATACTGAATATCCGTACGCAAATATTGCAACATAACATGAAATGCGCACGCACTACGTAGTTCTAAACAAAGGGTTTTATATTTCAGTCTCACCATGTTAGGGAAAGCTGTTCAGTGAGACTTCTGGGGCCGGTTGTTCAAAGATGGGTAAGCGATAATCCTGGGTTAAAATTTAACCAACTATGTATTTCTGCACGTCCGTTTATTTCAAAACTTCAGAGAAGTAAACTCCTATCGATCTAGACAAGATCTCTGAAGAAATATTTCCAAATTTCTAGACAAGCTGTCAGGAAGTTTGCTTCGTGGTTAACGCAGGGTTAAGCTAACCCAGCTTTGAACAACTGGCCCCTGGTCTATTTTCTATTCTGTGCCACAAACGAGGCATGGGCCAGTTGTTCAAAGGTGGGTTAGCGCTGACCCTCGGTTAAAATGTAACCCGCTGTTTTGGTTTGTGTATTTCTGCACGTCTGTTTATCTCGAAACGTCAGAGAAGTGAACTCCTATCGATCCCGACAAAATTTCTGAAGAAACATTCCTAAGTTTATAAACAAGCTGCCAGGAAATTTGCTTTGAATTTTAAGTTAACCTAGGGTTAAGGTAATCGGCTTTTGAACACCCAGCCCCAGGAGTGTTAAGACTATCAGACATATTGGAGGTTTGTTGGGTATTTTGAAGAAATTTATAACTTATTGAAGTAATTAAAAACAGTTTGTGTGGTATATGTAGATGTAAAAACATAGTGAAATAGGTTAGGAAAGCTTTCAAAATATTCAGCAAAACCTTTTGTATTTTTTGTGTCCGCCACTGTCTGTGTGTTGAGAAATTTGTACTGATGCTCTACATTGGTGTTTATATAAAGCAAAAGTGATTAATTTATTAATTTATGCCTAGAAAATATATTGGGCTCGTCCATTTAATTTACTGCGAAATGAAAATTACTAAAAAAGAATAGCAAACTTTGGACATTAGCAAAATAGGATTAGGGTTGGGCGATATTTCGATATTTTGATTTATTGTGATATTTTCTATCGCGATTATCATATCGAAGGTAGAAACTTGAGCGACGATATATCGAAATTATCGTCATGCTCGATGACTATCGTGATATTGCTTCGCCTGTGTATATAGCTTTGATAAAATCAAAAAAAATTCTTTCATTTCCTCGAAAATATAATTTTTAAAAGAATTAAAATTATTTCCTGAATTAAATACGAATTTAATACGATACAAAAGCTAATATTTATGTATCAATCCGCTAAACAATGAAATTGCAGGCTTTTCTTGCGCTGTGTGCCCACAGCATTTGTACCAGCGGAGACAGAGAAGGCACTGCGCAGAAATGCACAGACAGTTCTGGTTTAATGACCAGTAAATATTAGACTAGAAAAAGCCTTCATATTACTTTAATACTTGTTTTTAATAAGATTATATATAAGCTTACTATCCTTCGATATTAATTAAAATTGAAAAATGTGGTCATTGTTTTATTGCATTTATCGCAATATTATCGAATATCGTGATAATTTCCTCGACAATAATCGTGAAATTAATTTTTTTAGTATCGCCCAACCCTAAATAGGATAATAAAAAAAGCAGCTGCTGCAAACACAAAGTGGTTTCTCCCCAATGATTTATTTGAAAAAGGCTCAATGGACCTGATTTGCATTATAGACTAAATTTTGATCTAAACAAGTCTAGACAAAAGCTTGAAAGAGCATCACAAAATTAGTAATATTCCAAAGTTTCGTTGTGAAATGTTGTAAAATGCGGATAATATAGCCTTGCGAAGTTTGCAGTTTTTCAGTCATTTTGCATTACGCGGGGAAATTGACAGCCCAATACCCTTTGGGGCTGTCAATTTCCCGTTTGTTTGCAAATTTCCCAGGACTCCCAAATGTATGTAACAGGTACAGTGAAACTCTCCTCAAAATATTCTCTTCTAAAATGGCTTTTGAAAAACGTACACCCTCTAATACATACTCAGGGTGCGATAATTCGCGTACTTACGTACCGGAGGTACGCCAATATTACGGTCTGGTACTTCCTTGTTTTCAGTCACGTACCACGTAGGTACGCGGTACTTTTGCTATCTGCGTACTTACTTTTTGCTGGTACCACATGACTATTCCAAGCCCAAGGTATTCAATACCGTAATTTAGTTGGTATATCATGTGTCTGAGATTGTCTTGGTATGAAACATGATTGGACTCATGGCACTAAGAAACGTTGGAGTCGATTGCTTGTATATTACAATTGTGCTTCTTTTTCTACCTCGTAGTCTGATCATGCTTTTCAGAAACCTGTGCTTTATGAACCTTATTTTAATGACTATATGTAATACACATTGAGTACTGAGTTTGTTCTATCACACCCTGAATTATCGCACCCTGCATACACCTTGCTGTCTCCCTTCATTGTTTTGAATAATTAGAGAGGTCGGACTATACGTGTCTCTTGTATAGAAAAAAAGAACCAAAATTTAATTAAATCTTTATTTGATCACATTTAACTGACATAAACATACTCAAAACCATTTTCTGAAATGTCATTTTATAAATTTAACTGAGGTACATGCATTAAACTTTCTTCAGGTTACAATATATTATTACATTTCTCAAGAGTCGTATGTTATATTAACTTTCAATGAACCGCTTTTGGTGATGTATTCACACTTGCAGCGTGACGCTGGACAATACCCACGTGGGCAGTTGTCATTGCACCATTTGTCCATTGCTGGAGTGGCCCAAGGTGGCACACCTCGGCATGATCCGGGCTTTACATTTCCAGTCTGACCTCCATTACCTCCAGTCCCATCGCCAGTACCTCCAATCGTACCCCCAGTACCTCCAATCGTACCCCCAGTACCTACATCACCATCTCCAGTCCCGTCACCAGTCCCACCTCCGTTACCTCCAGTCTCAGATCCAATTCCACCTCCGCCACCATTACCTCCAGTTCCGCCTCCATTACCCCCAGTCCCACCTCCATTGCCCCCATCCCCAATACCTCCAGTCGCACCTCCTGAACCGCTTTTGGTGATGTATTCGCACTTGCAGCGTGACGCTGGACAAAAACCACGTGGGCAGTTGTCATTGCACCATTTGTCCATTGCTGGAGTGGCCCAAGGTGGCACACCTCGACATGATCCGGGCTTTATATTTCCGGTCTGACCCCCATTACTTCCTGTCCCAGTACCACCAGTACCACCTCCATTACCTCCAGTCTCACCTCTAGCCCCGCCTCCACCCCTCCCTCCACTCCCAGTACCTCCACTCCCAGTACCTCCAGTACCTCCACTCCCAGTACCTCCACTCCCAGTACCTCCAGTCTTACTCTCAGTACCTACATTACTACCTCCAGTACTGCCAGTCCCACCTCCATTGCCTCCAGTCCCACCTCCAGCCCTGCCTCCATTACCTCCAGTCTCACCTCCATTGCCCCCAGTCCCACCTCCATTGCCCCCATCCCCAATACCTCCAGTCGCACCTCCTGAACCGCTTTTGGTGATGTATTCGCACTTGCAGCGTGACGCTGGACAAAAACCACGTGGGCAGTTGTCATTGCACCATTTGTCCATTGCTGGAGTGGCCCAAGGTGGCACACCTCGACATGATCCGGGCTTTATATTTCCGGTCTGACCCCCATTACTTCCTGTCCCAGTACCACCAGTACCACCTCCATTACCTCCAGTCTCACCTCTAGCCCCGCCTCCACCCCTCCCTCCACTCCCAGTACCTCCACTCCCAGTACCTCCAGTACCTCCACTCCCAGTACCTCCACTCCCAGTACCTCCAGTCTTACTCTCAGTACCTACATTACTACCTCCAGTACTGCCAGTCCCACCTCCATTGCCTCCAGTCCCACCTCCAGCCCTGCCTCCATTACCTCCAGTCTCACCTCCATTGCCCCCAGTCCCACCTCCATTGCCCCCATCCCCAATACCACCAGTCCCACCTCCGTTACCTCCAGTCTCACCTCCATTGCATCCAGTTCCAGCTCCGCCACCATTACCTCCAGTTCCGCCTCCATTACCTCCAGTCCCAACTCTAGCCCCGCCTCCAGCCCTCCCTCCACTCCCAGTACCTCCAGTCTTACTCACAGTACCTACATTACTACCTCCATCCCCAGTACTGCCAGGCCCACCTCCATTGCCTCCAGTCTCACCTCCAGCCCTGCCTCCATTACCTCCAGTCTCACCTCCATTGCCCCCAGTCCCACCTCCATTGCCCCCATCCCCAATACCTCCAGTCGCACCTCCTGAACCGCTTTTGGTGATGTATTCGCACTTGCAGCGTGACGCTGGACAAAAACCACGTGGGCAGTTGTCATTGCACCATTTGTCCATTGCTGGAGTGGCCCAAGGTGGCACACCTCGACATGATCCGGGCTTTATATTTCCGGTCTGACCCCCATTACTTCCTGTCCCAGTACCACCAGTACCACCTCCATTACCTCCAGTCTCACCTCTAGCCCCGCCTCCACCCCTCCCTCCACTCCCAGTACCTCCACTCCCAGTACCTCCAGTACCTCCACTCCCAGTACCTCCACTCCCAGTACCTCCAGTCTTACTCTCAGTACCTACATTACTACCTCCAGTACTGCCAGTCCCACCTCCATTGCCTCCAGTCCCACCTCCAGCCCTGCCTCCATTACCTCCAGTCTCACCTCCATTGCCCCCAGTCCCACCTCCATTGCCCCCATCCCCAATACCTCCAGTCGCACCTCCTGAACCGCTTTTGGTGATGTATTCGCACTTGCAGCGTGACGCTGGACAAAAACCACGTGGGCAGTTGTCATTGCACCATTTGTCCATTGCTGGAGTGGCCCAAGGTGGCACACCTCGACATGATCCGGGCTTTATATTTCCCATCTGACCCCCATTACCTCCTGTCCCATCCCCGGTACCACCAGGCCCACCTCCGTTACCTCCAGTCTCACCTCCATTGCATCCAATTCCAGCTCCGCCTCCATTACCTCCAGTCCCGCCTCCATTACCTCCAATCTCACCTGCAATCCCACCTCCATTACCGTCAGTCTCACCTGCAGTCCCACCTCCATTACCTCCAGCAGTCCCGCCTCCATTACCTTTAGTCTCACCTGCAGTCCCACCTCCAGTCCCACCTCCATTACCTCCAGTCTCACCTGCAATCCCACTTCCATTACAGTCAGTCTCACCTGCAATCCCACCTCCATTACCATCAGTCTCACCTGCAGTCCCACCTCCATTACCTCCAGTCCCACCTAGTCCATTACCTCCAGTCTCACCTGCAATCCCACCTCCATTACCGTCAGTCTCGCCTGCAGTCCCACCTCCATTACCTCGAGCAGTCCCGCCTCCATGACCTTCAGTCTCACCTGCAGTCCGACCTCCAGTCCCGCCTCCAGTCTCACCTCCATTACATCCAATCCTGCCTCCATTACCTTCAATCTCACTCGCATCCCAACCTCCATTACCTCTAGTCCCATCCTCAGTACCTCCTGTCTCAACACCAGTCCCGCGTCCATTACCTCCAATCCCACCTCTAGTCTCACCACCAGTCTCACCACCAGTCCCACCTCCAGTCTCACCACTAGTCCCCCCTCCAGTCCCCCTTCCATTACCTCCAGTCTCATCGCCAGTCCCACCCTCCGTATCTTCAAGCCCAGTCATGGTACCTTTCAAAGCCTTGGTAACGGCAGTGAGCAGTGGATTTTTCACGTTACACACACCTGTAAAGTCATCTAAGTCTACAGCCCAAAACATGGCACCACGCAGACCTATATATAGCAAAATAGGGATGTAAAGATGATGTATACAGACAGGATTGACGATTTTCTTGACTCGTCAAGCGGTAAATGTTGGTTGTTAATGGAGGATTTTAATGGAGGAGCTTATAAGATATTTTGTGAGATGTCGTCCGTTCCAAATCGCCGTCTTATCGTGACAGAACAAAACATTCTACCATTATTTTGGTTTTGGTATTTGAATTGAATGCCATAGGTTATCGAGTACAGTCAGTTTAAAAGGCCTAATTTATTTAGTATGCATTAAGTTGTTAAACTTGACCACCCTTGGGCCTTGCCCTCCAAGTCAATTGTTGACGTCGCATCTACAGCAACGTCTCCCATCAGTTCACCTATTTGTTTTGTTTTTTTTTCTTCTTTGTATCTATATCATTAATTCCATCTACTATCTTACATTCTCGCTACAACCAAAAACATTCTGATCACTTTTCTTGGACCATTTGGCCCCATGGTCCAATATTTTGTCTACCCTTGTTAATGGTCCATGGAGTTCCATGTCAAAGTAACAAACTTACCTTTTTTCTTTAAAAATCCAACTTTCTTTACCAAACTCTCGGGTGTATCAAAACCAACCCACAGATCACCAGAATACCCGTACGGTGCTCCTGCCGGATTTTGGTCGATAACAGTCAATTCATTTTGGGAACAAATTTCGTAGAATGACAGGAAGCCAGACTCCATTGTATATTTCCCTTCGTTAGGGTCCCCACGAGCTGGGGCGCCCAGGCTGTGGTTCGCAGGAAACTGAAGTTTGAAAGCGCGACCGTACAGTCCCATACCAAGAGCTATTTTTTTCGCTGGCATTCCTTCCGTTGTCCAGAGTTCCACGGCATCGGTCACAGAGAGTTTGTCATTCCCTACAGTGAGCAAGAACATGTTTGATTTAAAGTTGAATGGAATAAATCCAAGGACGAGAGTTGATGAAATATATCTTGCGCTCGAGTTTGACCGCCGACTCTCATTAACTTTCAATTTTGTTGTTATTTGGTGGCTATAAAGTACGCCTGTTTTCGGCGTACCTTTTAGCCACGGTTTGTGGCTAAAAAGTGGGCCTATTTTTGGCATACCTTACAGCCATGGTTTGTGGCTACAATTAAGGCATGCCTGGTTTCGTACGCCTGTTTTCGGCATACTTAATAGCCACGATTTGTGCTATATGGTATGCCTGTTTTCGGCACATTTCAAAATCGTGCGTTTACCTGGCATTTTGAAAATTTGTATTGAAACGAAAGAGACGTTTAGTCGGTTCTCCCTTGGGCGTATTTGTATTTCTAGTGATTTTCCCCACCAGTGAACGCTATCTAGTCTACTATTTCGATCAGTATGCAAATACCTTGCATGGCCGCGTTGTGTCCAGTCTTCGTCTCCCATTTGCCATGGAGATCATACGCCATCAAGTTGACCCAGTCCAGACTCTTTGCAATCCTTGAAATTTCGTACGCTTTTTTAACGGTTTCGACACCGGCAGCAACTGCGGCTGTCAACAATAATCGTTTGCTACCACTTGCCGCCGCTTCGGACTCGAACGCTTTCAAGAGCTCTTCGCACAGGACGCTAAACAGTTGCTTATCTTCTGGGGGAGAATTTCCCCGGTTGCCTGGGTACTCCCAGTCCAAATCAAAACCGTCGAAGCCTTTTTTACGAAGGAGTGCAATCGCTGAATCAATGAAGATTTCTCGGCTCTGGGGTGTCTTCACCATTTGGGAGAATTTACTCACGGGACCGTTTTCATGATTCCATCCACCGACTGCGAGCAAGGTTTTGAGATGTGCATAGGCCTGAATGGGAAAAAATGCAGGCAGTTTTAGAATTGAAATGGGTGATCGGAATGGTTGATCAGAATAAACATATTGATTGGAATATTGATTGATTGGCTATAATGAATGGTTGATTCGAATGCATGATCAGACGAGTATGCTTTTATAATTACTTTAAAAACATACTGATATCCGAAATATCACACACTCGAATCGACTTTGACCTCGTACACACGTAAAAACGCACAAGTTGTAACAAACCTGCAGTAGACTTGTAACATTATCCCATACCTGTGTTAAAAGCGGCTTTCTGATTGGTCTAGAGCAGGTGAGCTTGTCGTCGAGCTCACCTGCTTTTTGTCGAGCTCACCTGCTTTTCGCCCGAACTCACCTGATAAACTGCTTACGTTGCAATAACAATAACAAATATGGCGGACAAGATTTAAGCCCTGTTTAAACGGATCCAACATTGTTGGGCCAACATCATCCAACATTGTTGAAATAATGGCTCAAACGGCTTCTTTTTCAAATATTTTGTCAAGACTAGGTTTAGGGTTTGAGTAAAGCTTATCTAACGAAAACGATTTGAAAGAGAAGCGGTCATATCTAGTATAGTAACATTGTTGGATGATGTTGGTCCAACAATGTTGGATCCGTTTAAACAGGCCTTTAGCCGATAAACCTAAACTTTAAAGAACTTTTTTCGGTGACTAACATACTGAGACTGAAGAAAAACCAAAGAAATAATGCAGTAAAGGTAATTTAGACGTAGATAAAGAAGTATTTTCTTGCCCAGTGATTTTTTTGGCCGGGAAAATGTTCACAAAACATCGACGAGACGACGAATATATCGCGAAGAGCTACAAATGTGTGTATGGCTCGGTGTATGGGATAAAAACCAAACGTACTTGCAGGTTCGGTGAGTCCGGGATTGGACGCACCTCGGGTGGCTGGAAGTTTCCCGAACTCACCTCGCTTCGCTCGGTAAGTTCGGGAAACTTCCAGCCACCCTCGGTGCGTCCAATCCCGGACTCACCTCCCTGCAAGTACGTTTGTTATAATGCTGTTCCAACAACTTGTCAACAGGATGTGTTCGCACTGCTTGTTGACAACTTGCTACAAGTTCAACAAACTTGTTACAAGTTGTTCCAACAACTTGGTATCGTCCAGCAATTGATTCAACAATTTGTCAACAAGTTGTGAGTGACAACCTTGTAGCAACTTGATAAAATAACAGCATTGTTACAACTTGTTGACAAGCTTGCTACAAGATTGTTGCAAACATCATTGCGAACAGTTCAGTTGGTAGAGCATCGGACTAGTACTTGTAAGTCTCACCGGAAGCAAAATTCAGCTTGCCCGGTGAGGACACACTTTGCATCATTACAAATATACTTCACACAAACCTTTTTGATATTGTTAAATTTTGCAATCATCTTATTATCATTCCACTCGCGCAGTTTCAAGATGTGACCTTTGCGAATTTCTGCGAACGCATAGACAACGTGGGTGCACAGAGACGGATCCACATTCTCTGGGAAATATTTCATCGGTCCAGGTCTGTACTGAGACCAGTTTGTGTAGTAACATACACGAACATATTCTCCAGCACTTGCCAAGGACACGCACGCCAAGAACAGGAAAAGATAGAGGAGATACGACATTAATATATTTTAAATTGTTTATCTACAAGGAAGAAGTTGAGGATGCAATTAACTTTCGCCGAGTCTCCATTTCTAGACTAAGAAACGTTCAAATCGGTTGGCATTCAAAACAGCGAAGTCAAATTGTAAACGCCAGCGTATCGACTGCTTGTACTCGAAAGATTGGAAATAGTATTGTCCCAATAGAAAAAAGCTTGCGTGGAAGAAATTTTAGCAAGGTGTAATATTATCTTTTACGAACAAAATAGTTAAAAGGAACACTATAAATTTCAAGAGCGCTGGAACGGCTGAATAACCCTTGATTGGGGCTTATGGCCCTCAAAAATTACGGTCCAAGGGCCCGGCTAATTTACCGCGAAAAATTTACCGCTTATTATGGAAGTCTTATTTTCCTAATGCGCGCGAGTGTTTAGATGAGTCTGCATGCCAGCACCATATTTGTCTGTTCCAAATTGCTGTTTCCATTTTTTGGGAGCCATTAGATATTTTGTCAATTGTACAAGTCAGTCAAAAATATGATGTCAAAAAGTGTGAAAAGTAGGTCAACCCCCATGAATTTAGACTCCCTACCATATATGTGGTCGATCGAATGTCTTAAACATCACCTTTAATTTCCTGAAACGATTTTCTCCACCAAAAGCTGCTTGAATTTTTGGTTGTAGTGATTTAATTCCTGTTGACTTAACCTCGTTCTGTTAATTTTTATTAGCCTTGATCTACTGTATTATTAGCAATGATTATTTCTTTGAAAACCAACTTTCCTGGTGATAGTTAATATTTTATAGGAATTTCACACGGAATTTAGCACCTATTCAAGCAGTATAATATTTAGAAAGGTTAAAACAATGACCACCTGTAGCAGTAGAATTCTACTACCGAAAACTTCACAGTACGTGTATAGATATTTGGTTTGATTTTAAGCTGAAAACTGACATCAAAAGAATCTTAGCGGAAAAGGTTCCAAAATTCTAGAAACTTTAAAGAGTTTGTTTTTTGAGGTGATTATCGGGGAATATTCGCCGAGACGAAGTCGAGGTGAATATTCCCCGATAATCACAGAGCCTGAGGCGAATAATTGTTTTAGTATTTTTGTGTTTTTTGGGACTGAATTTATTTTAATTTCGCTTATTTCTTTATCAGTATAACGTCCACAAAACGGCTAGCCGCCATTTTGAAAATTTCAGTTTTTTTATTCACCTGTAGGTGAATATAACAGCTTTTAAGCTTTAACAGCTTTTAAGTATTTTTATTAAAATACGTCAAATTTGACCAATCAACTTGTAGGATTTGTTATGTTCACTTGTGCAAAAATACTAATATCATATATTCTGTTGAAGTTAAAACATAGTTGAAACGCTCATCAAATCTTTATTTTATTAATCTTAGAGCTTAAAATGCCCTTTCTAACAATGTGTGTGACTCTCATCAATTCTTACTCCTCGCTTGACCAGATTTATAAGGGCATTTTAGAGCTGGTTTCTGATGCAAATACGGAGATCCTACCCAAAACACATTTCCTGGTATTCCGGTGGGCAATCTGAAAATTGAGTGAAAATTTTTTGATTACTGAAAAATCAGTTGGCAAAGCTTTCTTTTTCTCTACCAGTAAAATGATATCAACACCGTCAATGCTGTCAGGACGGTATAGGAAATTAAGCAGATAATCTTGGTATATTGGCCATTTTTATTGATTTCTCTTTGACCAGAGTGTGGAGTATTTTGCCAACGCCGTCCCGACTGGGGGATGTGGGGGAGGTGCAACACCCCCAAAGAAAGGGGGGTGTCAATTCCCCAGAGGGCCCCCCAAAATGCTGGAATTGCGGAACGTGTTAAATTTTAAGGAATATTGTTAAAAATTGAGGTCGAAAAATTCTGAAAAACATATTTTTAACCCCCTCTTATCCGAACTTGATAAGAACATCGACTTCCTTGGATGAATTTACAAACGGTATGCGCAGTTATTACAAATTCGGCATCAGAAAATACTTGCGACGTTGAAGATCCACGAACGTTTAAATCTATATGTTTGTCTTGTAATAACTAATAAATGTCGTACTTTGTCCAGTTCAAAGTTGTGTTGTTTTTAGTTAATTTAATTAACTGTATTGAGTAATATTTTTTCGTATTGTAATATAATAAGAATTATGCAAAGGGCCGCAAAAATTGGCGAAAGCTTTTGCGTATTCCCTGCCATGTAACCGTTTTGTAAAGTAAATGTATACATAATGATTAATGTAATTGGCGAAACTTGAATAAATTAAGTTAAATACATGTATGTACAACCATGACATAAATATCGATTCCCAGCATAACGCTTACAACCAATATCAATTTTTTTTTAATGTTTTCGCCCAAAATATTACATTTACAAGGAATAGATATATATAAGAAATGGGCTAGGAGCCTATACTAGAAACCACATGGCTTTTTTTAGGCCCCTAGGTTAATTATTTAAGCTATATCAATAAATATAAGCTCGTGTCAGTTCGAGTGTTTTTCAGAGAATTAGTAAGGAAAAGAAGTATTATGTAATACATATGAATATATATAATTATATTTACAAAAACATGTTATATTGTTAAATCTAGTTGTAAAAAGTACTTTTTAATTATTGATTTGAAGGAAGCATAAGACCTAGCTAGGTTCTTTTTTTTGTGGGAAGATTATTCCACACATCCATGCCTTTATTGGCAAAAGTATGTTTGGTATAGTTTGTTCTATTTAGAATATAGAATTTGAATTCCCAGCATAAAGCTTACAACAAATATCAATCCCCAACATAAAGCTTATAACACCTCTAATTTATTACCCCATGGTAATTTAGCAGATTTCTAGAAACAAATTTAGTCTAATAATCTCAACTTGCTAAGTATACACAACGTTGTCTCTTCTTGCGACATTATGCAAATCACTGCCTATCAGCACGGAATGGTGAATTTTTAGGCAGCAGAAGAGACCAACCCTGAAATGGTTGAACTGATGGTACTTTATCTTCACCGTCTTGATGTATGGTGAAACCCAGACACCCAGCGACCAATGCTGCCGTGTCTTCGAGACCAGATGGATTAGCGATGGTGAGTGGTACCGTAACCAGTCCGCTGGTGAATTCATGCAGTTCCTTCGGCTCGTCCGACATCTCCATGAATTTTGTAATCCAGCCGGTGTAGCCACTCGGACCCGATCCAAAACCTTCATAGGTAACAATACGGGACCACCAATCATAGTCTGGTTTACCTCTGTAAGTGGCCAGTAGTTTTTCAAAGACGTCTTTGATGACTGACCACCAGTTGTTGCCCAATCCGAGGTTGTTTTTGATTGGTTCAAGAAGGGTTTTCAAAGCTTCCAATTTTGATAGTAGTTTCTGCCAGTCTTCTTCAGTGCCGAGCATTTCAACACCCGGGATTCCACACAGTAACATCATCCTACACAATAAATGGAAGAGTCTTGACGGTCTCTTATACAGTCCGGACGAATTCTTGTGTAAACACAGAGTATGGGCAAGGCAACGAAGTATGAAGATGAATTTAGACGTGCTAAGCTAGGCTAGGCTAAGTATGTAGTTAGGTAAGCGTATAATACTTGATATAAAGCGCATTTCATAATAAGACAGGATAATCCTAATAGGACAGGATTAAAGTCTCGTTGTTTTGTCTTTGTCAAGGTAGGGATTAGGCTCAGCATTCACCCAGATATGAAACTATAACCCGTCTTCGTTGGATATCTGCCGCTAGCTGACCCCATGCAAACTTAGCGGTATGACGGGCAAAACTTGTCAAGTACGTCGTCGTCATTCGTTCTCTTGCTCAAACAGATCTTGAGTCATCATCAGGTTGGGTCAATAAAAGTTGTTTCTCCATATATAGTTATCCAACTAGTCTTTAACAAATCTACACCCACCCCTTTATACTTACTTATATTCAAAGAATTCCTGCAAGGACGACATCAAAGTGATTTGCGACACAATCCTCTGTACTGGGGTTGTCGACGAAAAATCAGCCGAAATGACATCAACGAAGCTGGGGACTTTGACATTCTTTGATATTTCCTTGGACATTTCATCAAAAAACCAAGTATAGTCGACATCGTAGATGTTGTCCACAGGCACATCTACTTGCAGTGTTTTCTTATCTTATAATGAAAACGGAACAAACTTATACTGAAAGTTGATGAGGGTTTCCTAGGGCTCCCGTTGTCCTTCACTTATCATCGCCCCTCAACCCCTTGGCAGCGCCCCTGAGAATATATATAAGGAGAATTTCGAGCGAAGGCCCTTCGTCTGGAGTTACTAGCGGGGATCGGGAAAATTACATCACTGCTTTTATATCGAGAATATAAAAGCGATCACGTGACAAAAAAATAAACCAATCCGATGGATTTAGTTCAGTTTATTTTTGTCATATGATCGCTAACTAGCCTCCTCCGCAGGCAACTCTTAACTATCCCTTACTGTAACTATCAAATCAACTATCCCTGACTATCCCTCATGTGTTTCAAGAGTTGCCTGCGGAGGAGGCTAATCGCTAACATCGCTTTTACAGCCTCGTATCGGCCGCGTGGATATTCCCGCGTGCGTGTCGCGCGACGGCGTACACACTCGTGTCGTCCCGCGTGCGTGTCGCGCGACGGCAGCACAACAAACCCGAAGCACAGAGCCTTCGCTCGAAACATCGAAATCGACCTTGTATATTTTCAGGCAGTTGTATCCCTACCAACGAACGCTTGTTCATTTTATTGGTACTGCCTACACTGGCTAAGACAGTTCAAGATTATACCCCTGAGAATAGCATCGGCACTCAATACCTTCATGTTCGACAAACATCTTGCGAACTGCTTCTTTCTTCGAGTTCTTATCGATTGCAATAGCGACACGTCTCGTTACAACAAACCACCAATCTTCTGGCGATGTTCTGAGTTTCCAATGTTTGTTATACGCTGTTATTACCGAATTGAACAAACCACAGTCCGCATTATTCGTGTATATATAGTCCTCAGAACCTATAGTCACTGTTCTATCGCCTACGTTTTCACGAACAACAAGCTTTTCGTCTGTAGCTTGCCCTCCATATAAACGTCGTTGTGTTTCCCTCGATCTGGCTTCCCTCCCTTCGAATTCTTTGGCATCCACTTCGAAAAAATGCTTCGCAGAGCCTCTGCTCAAGTCGTCTGCTTTGATAAGAAGTTCTGGCTTTAAATTTTCAGCCAATAGTATACACTTCATGATTGCAAGGGCCAGGCAGCCTTTTTTAGTGTAACTGAATATCAATACTGCATATAAACATAACAAAAATGTTAATGACCTCATGACACCACGCAGTTCCGTCGCAACAGGGCCGATATAGTTACAGGTTCGAAATGACTACAATTAATAATAATAAGGACCGCGGAGCAGGGGGGGGGGTTAGGGGGCTTTAGCCCCCCTCCCCAATAATATTCCATACATATGTGATTTTTATAAACTAAGAATACTGAAATCTTTCAGTTAATTTAACAATATATTTATAACTTATATAGCCAAGTATTCAATCTATTTAGCAACTATATGGTAAATTTGACTGATTTTTCTTTTCTGTGTTGGTGTTGTGTACTCAGATCCACACCAGGCAAGCTTGAAAAATATACCTGGCCACGGTGGGAATCGAACCTACGACCTCTGGAATACTAGCCCAATGCTCTGCCAACTGCAGAGCTACGCGGTCAGGTCGGTTCGAGTCATAGATATCTTATGTATACACTAGATAGCGCATCTCTTTTAGTAAAATTGAAGCCAAGAATAATTATTCCAGCGGTTACCCTCATGTGAATAGATGACAGCCATGTTGGTAGTTCCCACTCGTTAATAAACGCTTAAAAAACAACAATAACTTTCATCATTTGAATAGTTTAAAAATGATTTGGTCTTGGAATAGGTTTAACTTAATGTTTAAGTTCCCTGTTTAAGAAATAGAAAACATACGAATCTTCTCATTTCATGGGAATATCCTGTGTCTGCAATCACGGCTTCAATTTTTGAATTGCAGAATAATTAGATGCCGGCACTATTTAGTGTATATAAGATATCTATATGGTTCGCCAGTATGTGATATTTCAGAACTGAGTCTAGTTCCTTCGATATACCAATGTAATCTAGTATTATGATTTTTCTTTTCTGATAAAAGAATAGCAAGTTTTGGATATAAGCAAAATGGGATTGTAAAAAAACCCAGCTGCTGCAAACACAAAGGGGTTTCTCCCCAATAATTTGAAAAAGCCTTGGCCGCCTTCTCAGACTTAGGTTAACATTAACAGGGCTTTCAAAATTATTTTAAGTGAGCGTCTGTGATGGGAAAATAAAGCGGCTGAAAGAATAAATGGGTGCGATAATTCGCGTACCAACGTACCAGAGGTACACCAAAATTACGGTCTGGTGCTTCTTTGTTTTTAGCCGAGTACCACGTAGGTACACGAGAATTTGCTATTCGCATACTTACATTCCCCAGGACTCCCAAATGTATGTAACAGGTACAGTTGAAACTCTCCTCAAAATATTCTCTTTTAAAATGGCTTTTGAAAAACGTACACCCTCTAATAGTGTAACAACTTTAATTCAGTACCACACATACTAAATAAGGCTTGACACGAACGGGACGAGGTCCCATGCAAGGTGTCAGTGTGACTAAAATTTACAAACTACTAGCGTAATTATAATAACCATTATATACAAGCATTTAAAAATTAAAATAGATAAAATTAGGAATGACAAGGACACGTCCTACACAATGAATAGGTGCAGGGTAAATCTGGATCAAATGTTGTTGTCAAAAGTTCCTTGTAAGTCTTGTACAAGAATGTTTTGAAACTACTGAGAGTTGCAAATATACAAGATGGAGCTAACTTGAGGATTAAGTTTCATAGATGGACAATTCTATTGAAGTACGATGTTTTAAAAGTACTAGTTTTGCAAAAAGGGGTCTGTAAATACATTGACGACCCCGTCTAGTTCTACTACTGACAAAAGGTGTAAAGATATTTGTATCGAGGTCAATTAGACCATATCTACATTTATAATAAAAAGTCAAATCTTTGATCTCTCTATCATAAGAAAGTGGCAGGAGATCTAGTTTCTTTAAGCGATCCACGTAAGCTAAGTCCCCAGTCCCCTCGTTTAAGTCTTAAAATCCACAACGAAGTACGTCGTTGCACGCCTTCAATTCTTTTCTTCAAGGTAGCAGATTCAGGGGACCATACTTGAGAACCGTAACTTAGTTGCGATTTAACTAGGGATAGATACAAAGCTCTCCTAGCTCGCGTATCAGGTAAATAATAACAAGTCCGTTTCAGGAGACCCAGACATTTATTTGCAGTAGATCGAATTCGTGTGACATGAGAATCCCACTTAAGATTATAAGTTATTGTTATCCCCAAATCTCTTACTTCATCACAACGAACAAGATCATTACCAGCCAGGTTGTATCGGGAAATGTACTGGTATGTTTCTTTCTTGTAACTGTGAGGATTTCACATTTAGATGAATTAAACTGTAGACTGTTTTTGACGCTCCAAACATCAAGGTTATTCAGGTCTTGTTGTAGGGCCATGGAGTCAACCGGAGATGTAATAGGTCGATATACTTTTGAATCGTCCGCGTAAAGACCAGTTTTCGATGCAGGTGATAGGGAATCAGGCAGAGTATTGATAACAATTGTAAATAACAATGGCCCTAAAATGCTCCCTTGAGGTACCCCAGAGGTAACATGGGACCATTCAAAAGCAACATTTTCTAGCACCACCTTGCTGTCTCTCTTCATTGTTTTGTATAATTAGAGAGGTTCGACTATACGTGTCTCTTGTATAAAAAAAGAGAATACCAAGTTTAATTAATAAATCTTTATTTGATCACATTCAACTGACATGATTGAACATACTCAAAACCATTTTCTGAAATGTCATTTTACAAATTTAACTGAGATACATGCATTAAACTTTCTTAAGGTTACAATATAATATTACATTTCTCAAGAGTCGTATGTTATATTAAATTTCAATGAACCGCTTTTGATGATGTATTCACACTTGCAGCGTGACGCTGGACAAAACCCACGTGGGCAGTTGTCATTGCACCATTTGTCCATTGCTGGAGTGGCCCAAGGTGGCACACCTCGACATGATCCGGGCTTTACTTTTCTAGTCTGACCTCCATTACCTCCAGTGCCATCGCCAGTACCTCCAGTCTTACCCCCAGTACCTCCATCACCACCTCCAGTCCCGTCCCCAGTTCCACCTCCCGTACCTCCAGTCTCACCTCCAATTCCAGCTCCGCCACCACTACCTCCAGTCCCACCTCCATCGCCTCCAGTCCCACCCTCATTACCTCCAGTTCCACCATCATTACCTCCAGTTCCGCCTCCATTACCTCCACTCTCACCTGCAATCCCATCTCCATTACCGTCAGTCTCACCTGCGGTCCCACCTCCATTTCCTCCAGCAGTTCCGCCTCCATTACCTTCAGTCTCACCTGCAGTCCCATCTCCATTACCTCCAGTCCCACCTCCATTACCTCCAGTATCACCTCCAATCCCATCTCCATTACCTCCAGCAGTCCCGCCTCCATTACTTTCAGTTTCACTTGCAGTCCCACCTCCAGTCCCGCCTCCAGTCTCGCCTCCAGTCTCACCTCCATTACCTCCAATCCCGCCTCCATTACTTTCAATCTCACCCGCAGCCCCACCTCCATTAACTCTAGTCCCATCCCCAGTCTCACCACCAGTCTCGCGTCCATTACCTCCAATCCCACCTCCAGTCCCACCTCCAATCGCACCTCCAGTCTCACCTCCAATCCCACCTCCAACCCCACCTCCAGTCCCACCTCCAATCCCACCTCCAGTCCCACCTCCAGTCCCACCTCCAGTCTCACCTCCAGTCCTACCTCCAGTCCCATCTCCATTACCTCCAGTCCCACCTCCATTATCGCCAGTCCCACCCTCTGTATCTTCAGTCCCAGTCATGTCCGTATCTTCAGTCCCAGTCATGGTACCTTCCAAAGCCTTGGTGACGGCAGTGAGCAGTGGATTTTTCACGTTACACACACCTGTAAAGTCATCCAAGTCTACAGCCCAGAACATGGCACCACGCAGACCTATATATAGCAAAATAGGGATGTAAAGATGGTGTATACAGACAGGGTCGACGATTTTCCAGATTCGTCAAGCGGTAAATGTTGGTTGTTAATGGAGGATTTTAATGGAGGAGCTTATAAGATATTTTGTGAGATGTCGCCCGTTCCAAATCGTCGTTTCGTCGTAACAACAAAAACATTCTGCCATTATTTTGGTTTTGGTATTTGAATTGAATGCCATAGGTTATCGAGTACAGTCAGTTTAAAAGGCCTAATTTATTTAGTATGCATTAAGTTGTTAAACCTGACCACCCTTGGGCCTTGCCCTCCAAGTCAATTGTTGACGTCGCATCTACAACAACGTCTCCCATCAGTTCACCTATTTGTTTGTTTCTTTTCTTCTTTATATTTATATCATTCATTCCATCTACTATCTTACATTCTCGCTACGACCAAAAACATTCTGATCACTTTTCTTGGACCATTTGGCCCCATAGTCCAATATTTTGTCTACCCTTGTTAATGATCCATGGAGTTCCATGTTAAAGTAACAAACTTACCTTTTTTCTTTAAAAATCCAACTTTCTTTACCAAACTCTCGGGTGTATCAAAACCAACCCACAGATCACCAGAATACCCGTACGGTGCTCCTGCCGGATTTTGGTCGATAACAGTCAATTCTTTTTGGGAACAAATTTCGTAGAATGACAGGAAGCCAGACTCCATTGTATATGTCCCTTCGTTAGGGTCCCCACGAGCTGGGGCGCCCAGGTCGTGGTTCGCAGGAGACTGAAGTTTGAACGCACGACCGTACAGTCCCATACCAAGAGCTATTTTTTTCGCTGGCATTCCTTCCGTTGTCCAGAGTTCCACGGCATCGGTCACAGAGAGTTTGTCATTCCCTGCACTGAGTAAGAGCATATTTAATTTAAAGTTGAATGGAATAAATCCAAGGATGAGAGTTGATGAAACATATCTCTCGCTCGAGTTTGACCGCCGACTCTCATTAACTTTCAATTTTGTTGTTATTTGGTAGCACGGTTTGTGGTTATAAGGTATGCCTCCTTTCGGCATACCCCATAGCCACGGTTTGTGGCTAAAAAGTATACCTGTATTCAGCATACCTTATAATCACGGTTTGTGGCTACAATTAAGGTATGCCTGGTTTCGTATTAGAATGCTGTTTTTAAGGGTTTGTAATCAAAGTGAGTATATATACACATTAAAACCCGTTTTCGGCATACCTTATAGCCACGGTTTGTAGTACTAAGGTACGCCTGTTTCTGCGCTTACCTGGCATTTTGAAAATTTGTATTGAAACGAAAGAGACGTTTAGTCGGTTTTCCCTTGGGCGTATTTGTATTTCTAGTGATTTTCCCCACCAGTGAACGCTATCTAGTCTACTATTTCGATCAGTATGCAAATACCTTGCATGGCCGCGTTGTGTCCAGTCTTCGTCTCCCATTTGCCATGGAGATCATACGCCATCAAGTTGACCCAGTCCAGACTCTTTGCAATCCTTGAAATTTCGTACGCTTTTTTAACGGTTTCGACACCGGCAGCAACTGCGGCTGTCAACAATAATCGTTTGCTACCACTTGCCGCCGCTTCGGACTCGAACGCTTTCAAGAGCTCTTCGCACAGGACGCTAAACAGTTGCTTATCTTCTGGGGGAGAATTTCCCCGGTTGCCTGGGTACTCCCAGTCCAAATCAAAACCGTCGAAGCCGTTTTTACGAAGGAGTGCAATCGCTGAATTAATGAAGAACTCTCGGCTCTGGGGTGTCTTCACCATTTGGGAGAATTTACTCACGGGAACGCTTTCATGATTCCATCCACCGACTGCGAGCAAGGTTTTGAGATGTGGATAGGCCTGAATGGGAAATAATGCAGGCAGTTTTAGAATTGAAATGGGTGATCGGAATGGTTGATCGTAATAAACATATTGATTGGAATATTGATTGTTGGTTAGAATGAATGGTTAATTCGAATGCATGATCAGTATGCTTTTTAAATTATTTAAAAAAATCATACTGATATCCGAAATATCACACACTCGGATCGACTTTGACCTCGTACACACGTAAAAACGCACAAGTTGTAACAAACCTACAGTAGACTTGTAACAATGCTGTTCCAACAACTTGTCAGCAGGAGTATTCGCACTGCTTGTTGACAAGCTGTCAACGGCTTGTTGGCAACTTGCTACAAAGTTGTTGAGTTCAACAGACTTGTTACAATGCAAGTTGTTCCGACAACTTAATTGGTATCGTCCTGGGATGGATGACGTTTCCACTATAACTATAATTAACTTTAATCACTCTTTTATACAACCGGCCACTGCAATTCAACATTTGTATGACGTTTCCACTAACTATAAGTACTATTTACAACATGAGCGGCCGTGTTGTATCGGATATACAAACTCAAGCCGAAGGCGAGAGTTTGTATATATATTTTATATATATATATTTTATATTGTATATATATTTTAAAAATAAACGTTGTCTAAGCCGAGAAAATCAAAGTTAAAGTTTATTTAAAATACTCATAAATCATGTCAGCCATAATATGTCACGTGAAGTGACTTTATATCTCATAAAACACATGTGGCATTATATAATTGTTCATCCTAATTAGCATGATTATATAATGGTTCATCCTAATTAGTATTCTTTTGTAGTCGTATTTTAAGCTGATAAAACACGTCTCCTACTCGTGTTTTAAATAGTACGTAAATCAACATGAATCTGTATCACATATACAGATACGACACGCTTATGATTTTTCTTTGTGTTTTCTTCATGAATTATTAATGAGTTTTTTAATTAACTTTAATCACTTTTTTATACAACCGGCCCCTGAAATTCAACAATTTGTCAACAAGTTGTGAGTGACAACCTTAAAGCAGCTTGATAAAATGATGGCATTGTTACAACTTGTTGACACGCTTGTTACAAGATTGTTGCAAACAGTTCAGTTGGCAGAGCATTGGACTAGTAAACCAAAGTCCCATCGGAAGCAAAATTCGGGAGAAGTAAAACTCTTAGAGAGCGGCATCATCACAAATATACTACTTAATTCATACAAACCGTTTTGATATTGTTAAATTTTGCAATCATCTTATTATCATTCCATTCGCGCAGTTTCAAGGTGTGACCTTTGCGAATCTCTGCGAACGCATAAATAACGTGAGTGCACAGAGAGGGATCCATATTCTCTGGGAAATACTTCATCAGTCCAGGTCTGTATTGAGACCAGTTTGTGTAGTAACATACACGAACATATTCTCCAGCACTTGCCAAGGACACACACAAGAACAGGAAAAGATAGAGATACGACATTAATATATTTTAAGCTGTTTATCTGCAAGGAAGAAGTTGAGCATGCAATGGACCATTTGCATGATAGACTAAATTTTGATCTAGACAAAAATTTCATCACAGCTTGAAAGAGCATCACCAAATTAGTAATATTCCAAAGTTTCGTTGCGAAATGTTGTAAAATGCGGATATTTCAGTCATTTTGTATTACGCATGGGAAATTGATAGCCCAATCGGGTGTTGGGCCCGGGCATCAATTTCTCGTTTGTAATACAAAATGACTGAAAATTGCAAACTTCGCAAGGCTATATTATCCACATTTTACAACATTTCACAACGAAACTTTGGAATATTACTAATTTTGTGATGCTCTTTCAAGCTGTGATGAAATTTTTGTCTAGATCAAAATTTAGTCTATAATGCAAATGGTCCATTAACTTTCGCCGAGTCTCCATTTCTAAAAGCTCACTCACACTCAAAGAGTGGAGGTTGAATCTGAGCTTCACTTGAGTGTCAGTGCTGTTTTTGAATAGCTAGTGTTGTATCTTACTATGCGACTACTCACCCTCCAGCTATTCAAAAACAGCATTGACGCTCATAGGGAAGCTCAGATTCAACCTTCACTTTTCAGTGAGTGCCCGCAGTGAGCTTTTAGCTAGAATACAGGCGTAAGAAGGGTTCAAATCGACTGGCATTCAAAACAGGGCAGTCAAATTGTAAACGCCAAGCGTATCGACTGCTAGCCTGCGCGTAGCAGTCGCTTTATTTTATTGAAGGTTTTGTTGAACAAATGTTTTTCTAACCCGCCATTTATTCAAAATCCTCAAAACCTTCAATAAAATAAACAGACTGCTACGCAAGCTAATCGATAATTTGAGTATCAGGCTCTATCGCCGCCAATTAATCCTGGCGAATGAAAACATAAGGGCCTGATACTCAGGTTAGCTAATCAATCGCTTGTACTCGAAAGATTGGAAATAGTGATTGTTCCCCCCCCCCCCTCCTCTCAAAGCATGCGTGGAAGAACTTTTAGCAAGGTGTAATATAAATGATCTTTTACGAAAATATAATTGTTGAAGATTAAGCGGAACACTATTTTTTAAATTTTTTCCCCTTTGTACAGCTTTGTTAATATTTACAAATATTTTCTAATATTTAATAATATTGGGCTAGGGACCTACTAGAAACCCTTAACAGGCTTTTTAATTTAGGCCCCTAGTTATAGTTCATTGTTATCTATTAATTAATATATTTACAGTAAAATCAGAAAAACAATTATCTTAGAGTGTATTATTTACAAAAGGAAGGAAAGAACTATAAAGCAAAATAATTACAGTACCAATATACTCATATATAAAGGCATATTGACACTAGTATTTATCACTATATAATATGTAAGTAAAATGCATAATTTTTAATTTGAATCCTATTTCTAATTCAGTAAATAATGCTGTTTAACTTGTTTTTTGAAAGCAGTGCAAGAGTTTATATCTTTGATATTTGATTCTGGTGAGTTCCATACATCAGCACCTTTATTAGAAAGAGTATGCTTTGCATAGTTTGTTCTTTTATATTGCTTGTAAAGTTTGGATGCGTTTCTCGTGTTATGCTGATAAATTTGATTACTACTCACAAAAAAATTATCAAATTCTTCAGGTAGATTTTTAAGATGGTGATATCGAAACATAAACATGGCAGTTAAATAGTCATTAATTTTAAAGATATCTAAGATGTTTAATTTTTTAAAAATCGATCATCAACCGTACAATTATTTTTTGAATATTCATTATTTTTTGAATCCGAGTTTTGTATGTGTTACCCCAAATTAAGTTTCCGTCAGTTTCCGTAAATAAGGTATGGATAGACCAACGCATAGTATATCAGCTTAATTCCATTTCTATATTTACGAAATGACGCATTTTTTATATTATGCCAGAGGCTCTAATAATTTTCTTTGCTACTTTAGCTATATGATTATTCCAGGTCAAACATTCATCAATAATTATACCAAGAAAGTTTGTACTTTTAACTTGTTCAATATTTTTACCATTTATGGCAATTTTAACGTCATATTTTGTTTTTTTATTGGAAGATCTGAACAGAATAAATTTAGTTTTATTAGTATTTAGGGATAATTATTAACTTTCAGCCATTCGGCTACTTTATTAATTTCTGTTTGCATAATTTCATTAATTGTTTTAATACATTTCTTACTATAAAATATATTAGTATCATCTGCTAATAATACAAATGAAAGTAGTTTACTGCAATTTTCAATGTCATTCATATATAGTAAAAATAGAATATGTCCAAGAATTGATCCTTGTGGGACTCCAGTTTGAATTAATATTTCTTTTGACCTAACTTGATTATATTTGACTATAAATTTAAAGAGCGCCGCAACGGCTGAATAACCCTTGATTGGGGCTTATGGCCCTCAAAAATTACGGTCCTAGGGCCCGGCTAATTTACCGCCAAGAACAAATTATTATGGAAGTCTTATTTTCCATGCAGACTCATCCAAACATTCGCGCGCATTTGCCAGCATCATATTTACGTCTGTTCCAAATTGCTGTTTCTATTTTTTGGGAGCCATTAGATAATTTGTCAATTGTACATGTCAATAACAAATATGTCAAAAAATGTGACTAAAGCAGGTCAACCCCTACCATATACAGTATGTGAATGTCTTAAAGATCACCTTTAATTTGCCGAAACGATTTTCTCCACCAAAAGCTGCTTGAATTTTTGGTTGTAATGATCTATTTCCTGTTGACTTAACCTCGTTCTGTTAATGTTTCGATTAGCCTTGATCTATTATTATTAACACTGATTATTTTTTTGAAAACCAACTTTCCTGGTAATAGTTAATATTTTATAGGAATTTCACACGGAATTTAGCACCTATTCAAGCAGTATAATATTTAGAAAGGTTAAAACACTGACCACCTGTAGCAGTAGAATTCTACTACCGAAAATTTCACAGTACGTGTGCACTCTCGTACCCAGAGCCCTTCTTACGCGCAGTGCGACGAGGGGCTCTGGACCAATCCATATCAAACTGGCATCTGATTGGCTACAACGAAGGTTATTGTTCTAATACCGGATATTGTCTCTTACCATGTTTTTATCAGGTATCCGGTTTTGGCCAGAGCCCCTCGTCGCACCGAACGTAAGAAGGGCTCTGGGTACGAGAATGAGTACGTGTGTAGATATTTGGTTTGATTTTAAGCTGATAACCTTAATCTGGAGCTTAAAATGCCCCCCCCCCCCTAACAATGTCATTAGGACCATTTATACGGGACAAAATAAGTCGCGACTTACACAAGACGCGTCTTATATATTCTGCGGCTCTAGTCTTATTTATTTTATTTTATTAAGCTTTCATTGTACAAAATATATATATTACATGTACAATGAGGCAAGTTTACAACAGGTACATACACAAACAAGGTAAACTGCCAAAAACAATTGTTAGTTATATATAGACTAGCGAAGATAACAGAACACAGTATGATTCGCATCAACAAAACACAGTAAACAATACAAAAAACATTGTGCAAAAACATTTAAGTGAAAAAAGAGACAGTTAACAACATTGTCTGTAAGATGACGTCAGATCACGTGTAAAGAGATATTTTGGACAGACAGATTTCCAGGTTGAGATATTATCACAGTCAAATGTAGAATCCAACGCAGACTTGTAATGATGGTAAAGAGCTGATCTGAAACAAGCGACCGATGAAAGGCAACGGGTTGACGTAGGTAGACTGTTCCACAGTTTAACAGTTCGTACTAAGTAACTTTTTTGAAACTGAGAGGTTTTACATTTTGGGACTACATAATCGAGGGAGCAACTGCTTCTAGTTGATTTTAGTAACATTTTTAGCTGGATTAAGTTAGAGATGCCAACATTGTAGAAACCATTGATGATTTTGAAGAAAACAATATCCTTAATTTCATGCCAATAGCAGACGGGCAATAGTTTCAATGCTAGTAGTCTGTCTTTGTAAGATTGATAGGGGTTGTGGTATCCGAGAATAAATTTTGTTGCGCGTCTTTGAATCCCTTCAACCATGCGTAAATTCTTACCAGAGAGTGCAGACGAGACTTCACTTCACTTTACTTGCTATGTTGTTTTGGTTGTTTTTGTTTTAATATGAAAGGCTAATAATGTACGTAATTTACGTTGTTTCGAGCATGTGTAGTTAGACCTTTTATCCAAAATGTCTTATTTAAGACGCGACTTAAATAAGAACAGCTAAAATTCCTGTTCTTATTTAAGTCGCGCGTATTATCCAAGACGCGTCTTACATAAGAATGTTGTACCTTTTATACGACAAACTCGCGTCTTATTTAAGTCGCGTCTTATGCAAGTCGCGACTTATTTTGTCCCGTACTATAAATGGCCCTAATGTTTGCGACTCTCATCGAACTCTCACTCCTCGCTTGACCAGACCTTTAAGGGCATTTTAGAGCTGTTTTCTGATGCAAATACGGAGATCCCACCCAAAACAGATTTCCTGGTATTCCGGTGGGCAATCTGAAAATTGAGTGAAAATTTTTTGATTGCTAAAAAAATCAGTTGGTAAAGCTTTCTTTTTCTCTACCAGCGAAATAATATCAAGATCGTCAATGCTGTCAGGAAAGTATAGTCCGGACCAGGGCGCTTATATATATAAGCATATGTATATGCACAGTATATGCCAGATCGACCACAACCTCGCAAGCGAGAGTCTTTACCTCCTCACGGCGCTTTGCGAGGTTGGATCGACCAGAGTGTGGAGTATTTTGCCACGGTATAATCCAGATCAACCAGAGTGCATGTAGAGTATTTTGCCAAGGAGCTTGATAGGAACATCGACTTAATTCCTTGAATGACTTACAAACGGTCTGCGCAGTTGTTACAAATCGGCATCAGAAAATACTTTCGACGTTGAAAATCCACGAACACTTAAACCCTATATATGTTTTTCTTGTAATAAATTTCGTAGTCTGTCCAGTTCAAAGTTGTGTTGTTTTTAGTTCATTTGATTAAACTGTATTGAGCAATATTTCTTCCGCTATAATTGGCGAAAGCTGTTGCGTGTTCCCTCGCTGCCATGTGACGGTTTTGTAAATTAAATTAAAATGTAAATATAGTGTGATAGATGTATAACGTATAATTGACGAAGTTTAATAAATTAAATTAAATACACAACTTTGACTGTATTACTGGTAAACCACAAATCAAATAAATAAATCAAATAAATATGAACCATGATGAACCACAAATACCAATCCCCAGCATAAAAGCTGACTACAAATGTCAATTCCCAGTATAACGCTTTTAAATATGCCTCTAGTTTATTACCCTGATGGTAATTGTTCCTTTTAAATAATTTCAACTTGCTAAGTATACGCAACGTTGTCTCTTCTTGCGACATTATGCAAATCACTGCCTATCAGCGCGGAATGGTGAATTTTTAGGCAACAGAAGAGACCAACCCTGAAATGGTTGAACTGATGGTACTTTATCTTCACCGTCTTCATGTATGGTGAAACCCAAACACCCAGCGACCAATGCTGCCGTGTCTTCGAGACCAGATGGATTAGCGATGGTGAGTGGTACCGTAACCAGTCCGCTGGTGAATTCATGCAGTTCCTTCGGTTCGTCCGACATCTCCATGAATTTTGTAATCCAACCTGTGTAGCCTCTAGGACCCGATCCAAAACCTTCATAGGTAACAATACGGGACCACCAATCATAGTCTGGTTTACCTCTGTAAGTGGCCAGTAGTTTTTCAAAGACGTCTTTGACGACTGACCACCAGCTGTTGCCCAATCCGAGGTTGTTTTTGATTGGTTCAAGAAGCGTTTTCAAAGCTTCCAATTTTGACAGTAGTTTCTGCCAGTCTTCTTCAGTGCCGAGCATTTCAACACCCGGTATTCCACACAGTAACATCATCCTACACAATAAACGAAAGAGTTTTGACAGTCTCTTAGACAGTCCGGACAATATTCTTGTGTAAACACAGAGAGTATACATGGGCAAGGATCAGGGCAAGGGTCAGGGCAAGGGTCAGGGCAAGGATCAGGGCAAGGATCAGGGCAAGGATCAGGGCAAGGATCAGGGCAAGGATCAGGGCAAGGGTCAAGGCAACGAAGTATGAAGACATGAAGATGAACTTCTGCGTACTTGGCAATAGTTTGAAGTCACCGGCCGTTGCTCAATATGTCGTTCATTATAGATTTGTGTGTTGCTGTTTATGAATAGGGACCCTAAGGCTTAATCCTTACGCTGACCAAGACAAAACAGCGAGATATGAAACTATATCCAGTCTTAAAGTTTGTTCTTATGCCTTTGTTCAGAAAAAGTTCACGACAAATTTTGCCAAAATATTCGTTCTGATCGAAGGCAGAAGATCGAAGGCAGAAGATCGAGGGGGTTCGGTGGTGCAATCGTCAGAACTTTGCTTGTCAAGTATGTCTTCGTCGTCGCAATTCGTTCTCTTGCTCAAACAGATCTTGAGTCATCATCACTCATCAGGTTGGGTAAATAAAAGGAGTTCTCCATATATAGTTATCCAACTAGTCTTTAACAAATCTACGCCCACACCCTTTATACTTACTTGTATTCAAAGAATTCCTGCAAGGACGACATCAAAGTGATTTGCGACACAATCCTCTGTACTGGGGTTGTCGACGAAAAATCAGCCGAAATGACATCAACGAAGCTGGGGACGTTGACATTCTTTGATATTTTCTTGGACATTTCATCAAAAAACCAAGTATAGTCGACATCGTAGATGTTGTCCACAGGCACATCTACTTGCAGTGTTTTCTTACCTTACAATGAGAACGGAACAAACTTACATTGAAAGTTGATGAGGACTATGAGGGTCTCCCAGGGCTCCAGTCGTCCCTCCCTCGTTGTCTCCCACCCTTCGCAAAAATCTACATAAAAATGGAAAAAATTCGTAAAAGAAAATTCAAAGGAAATCTTAGTCCAAATAAGGAAAAGAATCCAGAGTTTTCGAAGCCAACGAAGGGCCTTCGCCATCCATTTAATTACACCCTCCCCATGAACAAGAATTTGTGAGGGATTTGAAAAAGCCGTTTCTGAGGGGTTGTGTGTATTGGCATCCTTTGATCTTTGCGTTTTTTTCTGAGGGGTAAGGCAAAAATTTCTTAATTTCTGGGGGGGGGGATGTGTTTGTCACAGCACTTTGATCTTTTTTCTTAGGGGTTCAAATTTTATTGAACTCGTCCATATGGGATGTGTTTACATTAAATATGGACTGTCGAAGTTCGCTCGAAATGTCGAAGTTCTCCTTATAATTGGCACTACCTACACTGGCAAAGACAGGTCAAGATTATACCCCTGAGAATAGCATCGGCACTTTAATACCTTCGTGTTCGACAAACATCTTGCGAACTGCTTCTTTTTTCGAGTTCTTGTCGATTGCAATAGCGACACGTCGCGCTACAACAAACCACCAGTCCTCGGGCGATATTCTAAGTTTCCAATGTTTGTTATACGCTGTTATTACCGCATTGAACAAACCACAGTCCGCATTATTCGTGTATATATGGTCCTCAGAACCTATAGTCACTGTTCTATCGTCTACGTTTTTACGAACAAGCTCTTCGTCCGCGGTTTGCCCTCCAAAATGTCGTTGTGTTTCCCTCGATCTCGCTTCCCTCGCTTCAAATGATTTGGCATACGCTTCGAAAAAATTCTTCGCAGAGCCTCTGCTCAAGTCGTCTGCTTTCAATATACATCCAGGCGTTAAATTTTTAGCCAACGGTATACTCTTCATGATTGCAAGAGCCATTTTGTGATTATATTATGGATTGTAAAGAAAGGAAATGCGCACGCACTACGCAGTTCCAATTCAGAATTTCAGATCCACTGGTTCAGTCTCAGGCTCTCGGCAGGTATTTTACTAATATCGAATACGCAACTGGCAACTGCACAATTATTACGAGAGATGGATGAATAGATTTCACTTCCAACATTCAGTATCATTTGCACATCTAAATTATTTCGGTTTTATCTCGAAAATTGATTGGTCAAAGGGTCATCTGCATGGCAGGCGGTTCCTAAAATCGGGCAAGCCTGGGAACGTCAAAACCAGTACAAGAGTTGCATGAGAGTGGATAATCATATGTGAATTGAGAGTTATTTGTAGAAAAAACTCGTCAACTCTGTTGGCCATGTTTGAAATATGGTTGTGTTATCAGAAACCATCAAAATGACCTACGATTATTACTGTTCAACGGTAGATACAAACGACGGTAAAATTCACATTCGTTTCTTGTCGGAAAGTGTCGGACTACCTTCGTTGCTTTCGTGTCAAAATTCAAAAATATGGCGGCAGCCAAAAGCAGGCGTGTTAAAAACATCAGAGATAAATTGGAGGTTTGTAGGGTATTTTAAAGAAATTTATAACTTATTGAAGTAAAAACAGTTTGTGTGGTATATGTAGATGTAAAAACGTAGTGAAATAGGTTAGGAAAGCTTAATATTCAGCAAAACCTTTTGTCTTTAAAAAACATTACGGGAACCACTGAATATTTTAATGCCGAGTATTCTAATGTACTAATGCTGTACATTGGTGTGTATATAAAGTTATGTATATTATATACTTGAATTTTTATAAGATATTAACCAATCCCAAACCCTTCTCTAACCCTATAAAGTTACCCTAACCCCTTCTCTAACCCGGCCAGAGGCCGCAGAAGCATTCCGAAAGTGGGGGGGGGGGGGGCATTCGCCGAAAGGGGCACTTTTGTATATGACCAAAATCAAACAATTTTATGTCATTTCACGAGCCGAACGAAAATTTTTGAAAATACAGAGTCTCTATAACGACGGAAATGGCATTTACAGAGTCTTTACTACACGAAAAGGGCACTTTGTTTCCAGCAAAAGAGGGCATTCATTCAAGACATTTTCGCTCTTTAAATGGGGCACTTTAGCCCAGGAAAAAGGGCACTTTTTTCACTTTCAAAAAAAGTGTGGAGGGGGGGCACATGCCCCCATTGCCCCCGTAAACTTCAATCTGGGCACAAGAAAATCTCGACTTGCCATACATTTTCCAGCATCAGATGCAATTGGTTTGATATTACTAGCCTGCATAGCACGTGCTAGGGGGAAGGGCAACTGGGTGAGGGTGGGGCACTCCTCATAAATTCTATCCCACCAACAGTTTTGCATGATAGCACCTTCACTTGGCCTAACTAATTATTATGTAATAGACCCAACCAATATGTATTACCTGAATCTTGTGATTTTCCAACAAAAAGCATCGTTGGAAATGTGATTTATCACATATTACTTTACAACTAAAAGGGCACTTCTGCCCCCCCTGCCCCCCCCCCTAGCAAAAGGCAAGGGGGGGCAGTCGCCCCCCCTGCCCCCCCAGTTCCGGCGTCCCTGGTTATTATAAATTAGTTATTCTGCATGTAATTAGGTAATTGTCTTTGAAAAGCCTCTATGGGGAAAGATAATAAAGTATCAATCAATCAATCAATCAATGAGCTTAATCTGAAAAATACAAGGAGAATTTCAACGTTTCGAGCGCAGGCCCTTTGTCGGGAGTTAGTGTTATTACAATCGAAGGGCCTTCGGTCGAATCTTGAAATTCTCCATATATTTTTCAGGTAGTTGCATCCCTACCAATGACAGCTTAACCCATTAAGCTGCAGAGCTTCCCCACTGACGAGTAAAATCGTCCGGCCTTAGACAAGTAAAAAAAAGTAAGGCGCACTGGGGCGCATTTCGGCTCAATGGCCTGGCGTTAGACAAGTAAAAAAAAGTAGGGCGCACTGGGGCGCATTGCGGCTCAATGGGTTAATATTATGAGTATATACTAGAGAGAATATATTGTGAATTAATTAGCCTTTCTCACGATGACGAATATCCGCCATTTTTGGGTGGCATCTAATTCTCGTTAACCAATGTAGACAATTAAAACAATGTGAAAAGCAATTTTTCAAAATAAACTAACCATTTACAAAGCAAATTTACCATCCTTTGTTCAAAAAATTATAAAAAGTCGCTGTTTATTTATTTAGCTTTGCCAACTAGGGGCAGGGTCACCACAACAGCATATGCCAATTACTGTGGGCCCTTCTTACCTAACCCACCCTGTCAACTTTCCCTGTGGGAGGAAACCGGAGTACCCGGGGAAAACCCACGGCTTTCGGCAGAGCGTTGACTTTTACTCTTTTCACATGAGGACTGGGTTCGAGTCGCACTGAGAAGGTACTTAGTGAGATTCGAACCTGCAGCCTCAGAGGTGAAAGGCAAGTGCACTAACCACTTGGCCACCGAAGCCCCAAGCTGTTATGTGGACTTACAATCTCGCAGACTTCGGCTGAAATGCCACCCAAAAATGGTGGCGTGAGAAAGGCTAATTGGGTCTGTCTGCACCTTGTAGTTTCTTGGTTGTCCTCATGTTGAGAATGTTGATGAATCATGGATGTCCGAGTTATTATTTAAGTCAGGAGAACCAAGACTAAGGCTTATACAGTGGCTACTTACAAGGTAATTCAAAAGTATTAACCATGATGTAGTAGCACTCCATACTGGAGTTCTGGGGAGACCAGGGTGCATTCTATGTAGACCGAGATATGCCAACATCTTCCATTGATCATACCACCATTTCAAAAACGTTTTAATTTTGTGCACTATGGGAGGGTTTTCAGTTTTGTGTGAGGCTTTGGCTAATGGCGATGAAGCTATGGCGAAAGGGAAAAGCCTAGACTATGTAGACTGCACCTGAGTTAAGTTTCACAATCAATTTGTGCACATGGATTATATATTAATGTAAAAGCTCTGGCGAATTTGGGTGGGGCTGAATGAAAAAGTCTGGCGAAATTTGCCGTTTGCCGGCCTGAACTGAAAACCCTGACTATGGTACCATGGATGTTAGACAACAGACAATCTTTTATTGTGTGCTTTTAGACTGAAGCTACATAATTATTTATCACAGAGTATGTGCTGTAAAATTAATATACAGATACATACTTTATGACAATGAATAACTTAATTAAGCACAAAATAAGGTATGCTAATATCTTGTTTTTGAGTTATCTCACGCCAATACACCAACAAATTTTGTGACCTCATGCCGGAAGTGTTTGAAACTGATGAAACTATCAATTCATGCTTACACTATAGGTTTGGTCATCCTCAATTGGAAGAACTTTTAGAAAGTCATCAAGCAGTACTCAGTAATTTAACTGACTCCAGAGTTGGAAGTAAGACTTGACATAATTTACAATTTAACAATGTTTCTAATACTATCTATTTGACCATTAACCCAGCCATTGAGCACCAGCTCTCTCTCTTTGATGAGTATAAAATCATTTGCCGCCAGACAGAATGAAATTGTAATAAAGTAGAGTGCAGTGCAATACACCCTTTCAACACTACATCACACATACTTTTTGGTCTGGAGCCTCGCTCTCATTAGTAAATTACGCAAGGTGATTGGCTCACAATTCCATTCTCGTACCCAGAGCCCTTACGCGCGGTGCGACGAGGGGCTCTGGCCAAATCCATAACCGGATACCATAAAAACATGGTAAGAAAACAATGTCCGGTGTTAGAACTAGCCAATCAGATGCCAGTTCGGAATATTGATTTGGCCAGAGCCCCTCATCGCACCGCACATACTGTAAGAAGGGCTCTGGGTACGAGAATGCTCACAATTCATGAGAGCGAGGCTCCCAGGCCAAATGACATAATTATTGAAATTAAAGAGTGTATTAACATGGATCAACTAATTGACACAAGGGCAGATAGTCTAATTAACACACTGAGTGTCAGCACTCTCCCCTTGACAAGTAAAATTGTCTGGCATTAGTAGAGTATAGATTCATTAAATTAGGGTGTTTGGGGTGAAATGGAACTCAGTGGGTAAAATGGTAAATAAGAAATAAAAAATCAATAAATTTGTGATTTATTTTTGTGAACATTTTAGAGCTTCTCTTTTGTGCCAACTTGTTGGGTCTTTGTCATGACGACGATGTTGACCTCATTACGGTAACTACATATTATAGCTGCTGCATTACATTTGGTGCCGTACTGCCCAGGCAGACTCATTTAAGCATGTGCTGTATGTGCCAGTGATAGGATTTTATCCTTTGGCCAAACTGAAGTTTTAGCTCGGAAAACCTTGTTGAAACTCAAGCTGGGCTGAAAACTCTCCATGTAATCACAGCCCTTAGATGTCCAATTAATATGAAATCACCAAATATATCTGGTAACAGTTATGAAGTTCAACACGTTTAACGATTTTTTAAAGGGTGTGTCATCCAAGTCAAAGCAGCTACAATTTTTTGAAGATGTAATTGATATGCTTATGGTGGTGGACAATTTAAGTCATACCTACAGAACTGCTGTTCCTGCAACACCACCAGCAGATCGGTAAGAACTTCACCACATTGTTCATGATATTTCTTGACTGTGTAGCTGCCGGCTTTATTATAGCAAACAAGTTTAACCATTTGACTGGCAGTACACCCTGCATACTTGCAGATTTTATGCATGTGGAGGTATATATAGCCAAGAACTTTTTGAGTTGTCAACCTATTTTGCATGGAGTTGCATGGTCTTGTAACTTCAGGATTTTTAATTCAACTATAAGATTTGAAGTTTTGAACGGCACATTTTAGGTGTGGAGTTAACCTCTTAGACTATTGAGATTTAACATCCCTCTAAGGCTTCCTAACTTAGAACTGCAGCCCTAGAAAATTTGTTATTTTACTCTGTCTATAATGCCAGACAATTTTACTCATCAAGGGGAACATGCTGGCACTCAATGGGTTAAGTTTGATAAAAGTTAATTAAATTAATTCATTTGTACCCAATTACATTACATTATATGTACTGTAGTTGCTATACAGGGTGTGTCAAAAAAAGCGCAATCCTCGACTGAAATCTAAATTGCTAAACAAATACTAGACGAAAACGTTAAAGTTTACATTCATTTTAAAGCGTAGCCATTCAGCTTTCTAACAGTGGGTTGTTTCTTAAATTTGACTCATTGGTTCGCGAGTAATAATACTTTACGTTATTGCGATTGGAGATTAAAAAAATTGAGATGGAATAACAAATCGTTCTCATGAAAATAACTGATTTTTTCATTAAAACAAAAAAATGTTGCATTTTATTAAATGGATTGTAACAATAAGTATAATTACGGCTTTTCTTCCACTATTTTTAACTCAGTTTGAAACTTCAAATGCGATATAATTTTGGCTTGGACCATCTAAGCTGACTGACATCAACTTGCTATAATTTCTGTTTACATTACATCGCAATTCGATGACACTCTGGCTCAGACACCAGAATGTTTTGACGATTTTTAGTATTCGTTTAGGATTTTCAAACAACCTGCATGGTCTCTTTTAAAATACTTTTAATTTGTTCTTACGTGGTTTTCCAGATGTAGTGACGACAACATTAAAGTTTAAAGAAGAAAATTCTAACATTTAAACCGACTAAACAATAACATAGTAAACTTGCATAATTAAACAGCAACTAAAAATGATAGGTTTTACTAAATCTTTTCCTGTGCAATTATTACTAGCATTGGAGACAAGGATAATAGTTTGTTTGAAAGAGAAAAGAACAGGCTTTGAAGTAAGCCTAAAAGCGTTTAACTAGAAATAGTATTTCGAAAGTTATTAAGCACAAAACATGAATTGCGTTTATTTTGATACACCCTGTATATACTGTACACACACTACACACTATACACTATATAATTATATAGTTACTGTAAAATTTAAGATACCGTAGATATATTGTACGATACAGATTACAGGTAGTTATAGTGTTCGGGTACTGCATGCCTGGAATAACCATGTCTAAAGAATACAGGCAGCCAATTGAATATATAACGTTTACTGTTTCAACATTTTATAAAGTTTGCTCTTGTCTCTTTGAAAGAAAAAAAAACATACTAGCTAGAGAAGATGTCCTGTGATTTACATACTTTGCTTGTAACGTCAGCTTGCTAAAAAAATTAACATAAAATATTGTTTGTCTTGTCTGTTCTACAATCTATAGTATGTTGCGTCCCAAGACATTTGGCGAAGCAGTTTTCGATGCTTGTGAGTACATTGATTTGTTGTGCAGACAAGAAGATTTGGGAGAGCTGTTTAAAGAAAAAATACACCTATTTCCACCCGATATAGAAAAGGAATTTGGCACAAAAGATCATGAAAATAAGAGGTGGGTATAGACATGCAGTATAATCGGAAATTGTGATGTCTAATAACCTTTCTTTAAAATGTTTTTAATCTTTTACTTATGCTGACACTAGAATTATACTATTACAGATCTCAAATACCAGAAATCACTGATCTTGCTTCGTTAGCTCATCAGATTGAAATGGAGCTCAAGAAGCAGAACAAAATTTTGGAAAGACTTCAATCAGAGGTATTGCATTGTAATCCCCAAATCGATATATAGCCGAATACAGTTACAAGTTATTACAACTGTGAAGGGTTGATAGCTAGGTCTATTGTTAGTCGAGTGAATTTTCCCTAATTTAACCCTTTTTGAACGCCAGTGCTCTCCCCTTGATAAGTAAAATCACCTGGCATTAGACAGAGTAAATTAATGAAGTAGGGTTCATTACACAAAGCAATTTAAAGGGTTAAGCCAACAAAAAACAGTAGTGTATTTTGTATCTCAAATTCGCTCTTCAAATATTTTGTTTTCAAATAATTTGTTTTTTATTTGTTTGTTGGTTTGTTTATTTGTTGTTTGTTTGTTTGTTTGTTTGTTTGTTTGTTTGTTTGTTTGTTTGTTTGTTTGTTTGTTTGTTTGTTTGTTTGTTTGTTTGTTTGTTTGTTTGTTTGTTTGTTTGTTTGTTTGTTTATTCATTTGTTGTTTTTTTGTTTATCTGTTTGTTCATTTGTTTATTTGTCTGTTAGTTTATTTGTTTGTTAATTTGTTTGTTCATTTATTTGTTTATTTCTATAGTCTTCCGCTGATCATGATCCACAAACAGTGAACAAAGTGAGCAGAACGATGTCTTTAACAATGTCGACCTTATCTCAGATGGTTGAAGGATTTATTCATTGCTATGAAACTGAAATGAAACAATGGTCTGGAAGGGAAAAACCTCTCTTGTCTGGTAAATATATATATATATATATATATATATATACAGGGTGTATCAAAAAAAGCGCAATCCTCGACTGAAATGTAAATTGCTAAACAAATTATAGACGAAAACGTTAAAGTTTACATTCATTTTAAAGCGTAGCCATTCAGCTTTCTAACAGTGGGTTGTTTCTTAAATTTGACTCAATGGTTCGCGGGTAATAATACTTTACGTTATTGTGATTGGAGATTAAAAAAATTGAGATGGAATAACAAATCGTTCTCATGAAAATAACTGATATTTTCATTAAAACAAAAAAATGTTGCATTTTATTAAATGCATGGATTGTAACAATAAGTATAATTACGGCTTTTCTTCCACTATTTTTAACTCAGTTTGAAACTTCAAATGCGATATAATTTTGGCTTCGACCATCTAAGCTGACTGACATCAACTTGCTATAATTTCTGTTTACATTACATCGCAATTCGATGACATTCTGGCTCAGACACCAGAATGTTTTGACGATGTTTAGCATTCGTTCAGGATTTTCAAACAACCTGGTCTCTTTTAAAATACTTTTAATTTGTTCTTACGTGGTTTTCCAGATGTAGTGACGACAACATTAAAGTTTAAAGAAGAAAATTCTAACATTTAAACCGACTAAACAATAACATAGTAAACTTGCACAATTAAACAGGAACTAAAAATTCTGTGCAATTATTACTAGCATTGGAGACAAGGATAATAGTTTGTTTGAAAGAGAAAAGAAAAGGCTTTGAAGTAAGCCTAAAAGCGTTTAACTAGAAACAGTATTTCGAAAGTTATTAAGCACAAAAGATGAATTGCGTTTATTTTGATACACCTTGTATATATATATATATATATATATATATATATATATATATATATATATATATATATATATATATATATATATATATATATATATATATATATATATATATATATATATATAATAATAATACTTTACGTTATTGCGATTGGAGATTAAAAAAATTGAGATGGAATAACAAATCGTTCTCATGAAAATAAGTGATTTTTTCATTAAAACAAAAAAATGTTGCATTTTATTAAATGGATTGCAACAATAAGTATAATTACGGCTTTTCTTCCACTATTTTTAACTCAGTTTTAAACTTCAAATGCGATATAAATTTGGCTTGGACCATCTAAGCTGACTGACATCAACTTGCTATAATTTCTGTTTACATTACATCGCAATTCGATGACACTCTGGC